ATAAGAACCCTAATAACTAGGTTAATCTCCTGCAACTAGCCGAATTCGTATATAACAATAGTGTCTACTTATCTACTAAGGTGTTACCTTACTTCGCTATAATAGGCTAGAACGCTGCCTTACTACAAGATCTATTTACCTCGCTCGAGGCCGAGCGTAAGGAAAGGGAAGCGTATTAAGTACTAACCCCTAAAACACTAGCGGCTATTAAGAGGGTTCAAAAGATGCGAGAAATTCACGCTATAATAGCTAACAAACTAGTAAAGGCCTAGGCCTATTAGAAGGCCTACTATAACAAATACTATATGCTAATGACCTTTAAGCAAGGCGACATAGTTATGCTTAGTATAAAGAACCTCCGCATCCGCAAACACCTATTACCTAATAGCAAAACAAGGCCTAAGCTCGCACTAAGATATATTAGCCTATTCCGCATTCGAGAGGCTAAGGGCACACAGGCCTATTAGTTGTAGCTTCTACCTTATTATACTATCTATAACACCTTCTATATATCCCTCCTTAAGCTATATTACCTACGCGAGGGGGATAAAGCCCCTGCTAAACATAAAGACATACTAGCGGATAGTGAAGAGCTATAGTCTATAGAACGTATTCTAAAGCACCGGACTAGGCAAGGCAAGAAGGAGTACCTATTGAGATAGCAAGGCTATTCACCTAAATAGGACTTATAGGAAGCTAAAGGTTCCTTTAAGGACATAACTAAGTTGTTAGATAAGTATTAGACTAGTGTAAAGAACAAGAAGAAGGCTAAGGGCCTATAATGTCGCCTAGGAACAATGCTACCCCTAGGATACTATTAGCTAACTAATTAGAGGCCGGCAAACTAGGACAATAAGACTACACTAGGCGCGCTACGACGCGTCTATTAGTTAATCGCATGCTCTTTTAAGGACTCTAACTCTTTACTAACGCGCCCTATAGGTCCCCCTTTTGTTCTCTTATTCTATCGGGGCCTCGAGGCCTAGGTAATCGGCGAAGACGGCGCGGCCGGCGCGGCTATATTAGTAACGGTATTACGGAGTGTACTGTTAGTTAAAGAAGAAGATTAGAAGCGAGGTAAAGTTAGCGCTAAGACGACTAGCGCCGCTATTATTAACATTACCTAGTCGCTACTATTGTCAACCTTACCTACGTTAAAACTTTAAGGCACCTTTAATTAAAACTTTAATTAAAGCTTTAAGCCTGTTAAGGGTTTGATTAAAACTTTAAGCCGCCTAAAAGATTGAGCGACTAATAGACTAACTAAGGGCAAAACTATAGAGCTAAGCTAGCCGGGGTCGATCTTGCGGACAATAGGTTACTCCTCGATCTATCTAACCCTTCAAGCGAGGCGAACCTCTACTACTACACTTACAATGGCCTTTACCTATAGAAACTAGAAGAACTGAGTTTTTTGAAAAGATAAGATAAGATTAACACTTAAAGGCTGCTAAACCTAGCTAATTAGGGCTAGCGAAACTACGAACAACAAGAACAATAACCCTCGGAAACGGACAAACCCTCGGAAGCGGACATTGCTAGGTCTTTTAAGAGTAGACGCAAAGAACTCGATACGACATTACTTAGAACAGAGGTAGTGCTACAATACCTCGTACGTCTACCTATTGCAGTAGGGAAGACGCGCTCGTATTGTAATTAGTCGAAGGCCTTCAATTCTCGTAGATACATATTACTTTATAGTTTATTATATATAGAGGTAGCGCAGTTAGAGTTGTATATTGTGTTATTAGAGGTAAGGTTTGATATAGTTACATAATTAGGTAGTTAAGTGTTTAATTTAGCGCGGGCTAAGTAGCTTATTAGACTAGCTAAGTTAGCGGCAATAGAGGTCGTAGGATATAGACAGGCTACGAGGGCGCGGCCTTTAGAAGGGAAGCGTATGTTAGAGCCAAAGAGGCTACACGTAATTAGCATGTAATCAGGCCGAGTAAAGCTAGGGTCTTAGTGCCTTAGGCAGGGCTTAGCGCTTAGCGTTAGGCTAACTCTCCTACCTTCCTCCCTCTCCTCCTAGATCCTTATCGAATACTACTCGTACCTACTACTACCCTATCTACCTGCTAATATACCCTTCTTACAGAAACATTAGCGAGATAGGCAATTAGTATAATAGGCTAATAGCTAAAGGCGTTGTTAGTATATAGAGCGTTTAGTATAGTATTAAACGTATAGCTTCTCCTACCGCTTCTCGACGTAAATCTCTATCTCCTTATTCGAGACGAGATTTAGCGCTTTATTAACTACCGAGTTTATTAGCTAGCGCTAGTTACTATAGACGTGTAATAGCTTAGGCCTATCTGCCTCGAGAGCGATAGTAACCTTAAGAAATGGCTCTATAAGCTCGCAATATCTAAAGGGTAGAAATTAGTATATATAAAGGCTGTAAAGCCTGTATTCGGCCTTAGCACTTACCCTCTTAAATTACGCTAAAACTAGCCCTCTTTATAGATCTTACATATTTCTAACTATGTCCTTTGTTATGCAGCGCTCGCCCCTACTAACAAGCGGTTCTCGTAGTATACGCGGAGGTCTTCGATCTAGTATTTATTAATAAGGACGCTTCTATAGCAATATAGGTCGGCTTGCTAGCGGATACCTCCGGGGACCTAAAAATGTCGTATCTTGCCCTTAGAAATTTCTAGCAGTATCTCAAAGGCGAGCTAAGTATACTTAAAGTATTCTGCGATAGATTTAGCGTCGGAAACAACGCGTCTAATAGCAGTTATACTAGTGTTAAATAAATGAAGGTTAGAAACGAGAAGTTAGGTATAATAGGAGGCATATCCTAATCGGATTAGCCTCGGGTACTACCGGACGTACTAACTCTTATTAGCACTTATCTATTAGTAGGTCGGGGCTTTCCGAAAGCTAAGGCGAGGGGCAATTGCTAACCTCTAATCTTCGAAACATACCTCTTCTATAGACGCCTTTATTACTACCGCATTATTAGCAACTATACTAACTACCTTGCCTGCCGGAAAGCGCCCTATAACGTCGAGAAGGCCTTTAGCGTAATACTAAGTATTACTTCTATTAGCGCTAGTAAGCTTAGACTTTAGAAACTACGCCGCTCGAGGCGTAATAGCTAAATAATTAACGACCGAGCGATAAGCGCGATTAGACTAGCTATCCGTTACGATATAGAGCCGCGCGCTCTTATTAACCTCCGTTATTATCTCGGCATATAGTTTCTTATACAAACGAGGCAGCTAGACGTATCGAAGCTGCTAGCGAGTTAGTAGTTTAAAGGCTAGTCGAAGCCTCTTTAACTACCTAAGGAACGCTAGATACTTAGTTGCACTAAGGGCACTACTAGAGGCAAACACCTATTTAGCAACTAACTCGTATAGCTTCTTATACTTAGTAGGCGTTATCTTATCGACGAAGCCTAATATACCGATAAGAACGACCTCCTTACGTACCGGACGAGCGATTTCCTCGATATCTAGGTCTCCGGCCGGCTTATCTAGTTTAGCTAGTACTAGCGACTTAGTTTCTACTACTTCTTCTACTAACTAAGGTTAATAAGTCGGCTATAAGCTCTCTAGTAACAACTTGCACTTCGTTAAGTAATTAATTACTCGAAGCCGCTTATTTAATACCTACGAGTCGCCGTAATAGTTACATTCGACTCGAGCGTATTGCTTACTATTTAAACGGTCTCTCGAGACCTCGCGCTAATATAGATCTTCTATACGCTTCCGCTTACTAAGAACATAGTTAATTAGAGATAGAGTTAATTAACTGCTTATAGTAGTAAGCAGTAACTGCTAGCTAGTAGAGAGGTTGTCGGATATACTAAAAACGATAGAGTAATTAGTAGTAGATTAAGGACAAAACGACTAATAAAAGAGGAGGAACCTAATAGTCTGTCTACTCGTATTCTACTACAAAATCTCCTATATTATATGCTTGCTAGCACGGTCTCCTTTGTCCGTAATCGCGGCGTTCTTACTATCGAGTTCTCGTCGGTATTCGTTATATCCTACTATAGTATACCTATCTAGTCTAATAGGCTCTTAGCCCTTTTCTTTAACTATTACATTTGTATATAGATCGCTTATATTCGCGATAATAACGCGAAAGAACGCGAGTAGGCGCGCCCTCGAGGTAATATAGGTAAGGGTATAGAAAAATCTCTATAGCGCTAGTATCTCGAGAAGCCGGCTAGGGCGGCAAACTAGCTATTCTAGCCCTTCTAGCCACTATTCTGAGCACTTATTACTAATCTTATATTCACCTACGTGTTTATAAGACAGGCGCTAAATTGGTCCGTGTTCACCGTGTAATAACGGTGATAATTACGGCCGTGCCACTGTGTACAACATCTCTAAATCCACGCCTAGACAATCCACTTCGAGTTGGTTTCTCCTGCAGCGTGACAACCAAGCCCCCTGCCGAGTTGACTTGGCTGAATCTTTATGTATACCAATAATCTCTCGAATTGGACCAAACTATGAGGCTTGATGCCGTCGCGGACGGCTAGTGCCGCTCCCTGGCATCTTCAGGTGGCCTTGGCAAGAAGTCAAGGAGATCAAGGAGACCGATCCCGCGGATATCCAAGATTCCACACCCTCCATCTCTCCTACGTTGGCTTCGAACGAGCTACAGCTTCAGCGAATCTCCTCTGGCAAGCCCGGTCGCTTAAGAGACATACACTCGAAGTGGCACCATTGTATTTGCGGGTAAGCAATTGCCTCCCGGGACCCGTCCACGAGCACCATGGATCTATATAGGCTTCACGCTCCGAAGCCTCAAGGACATGGGGTCAACTCGATGTATATTATAATCTCGTTTCTGTCTCCTTAATGGGGCTTCAAGAGCTCAACGGCAGTGGCACATCGAAGCAGGTCCTCCGCGCCGCAACGACACACTCACATCATTAGCACAACATGATTCACAAGCCTTTACAGCAGCTTGCCGTTGCCAAAGATGCCGTGATGGGCATGATCCTCGCTTACATTGGCTGCTGGCTTCCGGAAATGGTCCCGGACCGGAAACTTTTGAACGATAAGACGGCGATTGTCACAGGCGGAAATGCCGGCATCGGATATGCAATCGCTCTGCGCATCGCAGACATGGGCGCCACCGTATATCTGGCCTGCCGCAACGAAGCAAAGGCCAGGAACGCTCGAGAGTCGATTCTCGACATTTATCCCAATGCCAAAGTCCATGTTCTGGTCCTTGATAATGCTTCCCTGGCCTCGGTAAAGGCCTTTGCGAAAGCTTGGAATTATGGCCCAATCGACCTCTTCTTCCACAACGCCGGGATTGGCGTGACTCCCGCAGGACAAGAGTTCACTGACGATGGCTTCGAATTCGTGTACCAGTCCAATTTCTTGGCCTCATTCTTGCTAACTCATCTCCTGGAGTCGCAACTGAGTCCAGACGCTCGTGTGGTTTTCACTTCGAGCGCTGCAAGCTATCCTGGAGTTATCCGCGACACTTTCGCGCTCTCAAAAACCCAGGGCCACATCGAGACATACTTCCATGCGCGCGACAAGTCTCACAATGGCGCCGCAAAGTATTCGAACAGCAAACTCATGCAGGCTGCTTTCGCGCGAGCTTTGCAGGAGCATTTTGATCTCGACACAGAGAACAGACGGCTTGCGTTCTCTTTCGAACCTGGGCTAGTCAAGACCAATATCGCCCATGGCTTCTCCAAGACATTCCTACAAGACCCTGCTAGCTGGATTATTGCCAAGACGATTCCGCATTTTGGTCTCGACATCAGTCAAGGAGCTGTGACGGGCGTTCATCTGGCAACGAGTTCTCGTGACGAGGTGGTACAGAACAAAGGACGATATTTCGATCGCATGAAAGTTCGAATGCATTACGTAAGTCCTCGATTCTTTAGGCATTGCTTCCTCTAGACTCACCACCTACTTCTTCTATAGGTCGACTTGTACTCCAAAGAGAAGCTAGACAGACTCTGGACACGATGGTTGGCAGATGCTGACATTCCTGGATCCGAGAGCTTCGATTCACTGTCTAAGAGATCGGAGTGATGCTTTCATTCTTCATTGGGAATACAGCTTCCTTCGGCGAGATGCACAAAACAAAGCATAAAACCTGCAAGCTCGTCTTCGGCAACCATGTCACCATCCGCACCTTCACAACAGTATGGGTGATCTTCTCGATTTCCACGATACATGCACTATTGTGTCGAGTCTCACTATGGCTGTGCAACCCTGCTCTCGGAAGTTGGAGGTTCTCTTCGTTGCTACACTTAGCACCCGTGAATGGTTAGCCTCACGGGTAGAAAATCCGCCAAGATCTTACAACACATGCGGTGCGGAGTGTCACATCGAGAACCTTGGGTTGGGATGTTTGTGACGGGAGGCGTGGTGCTGTGTCTGCTTTGATAGGATGGGCGGGAGTACAAAAGTCAAGCGCAATGAATACATTTCCGGGTATCATTTATCTTATCCATCACAGCTTCGAGCCCTCACCTCCATCTTTCGACGTCCCGTTCTCTTCACCACCGACATCGACGTTCGGCGCTACTTGTCCACCCGCATTCCCAACAAATACATGTCCCAGGCCCCCTTCTTTCTGTGTATATTTCGGATGCGAAGCGCCCTTTTCCTGCAACCACTTCGATAAATTCAAAGTCTCGTCCACCTCTTTCGTAAGCTTATTAATCTCATCTTCAAGCCTCTCATCTTTCGTCTTCTCAGCCTCCTTGCGTCCAATCTCACTACCCTTCTTAGGCGCAGTTTTCGCCCACATTTCCTCTAATTCTTCAAGCCAGCCACAAGCTTTGGCAAGTTCTCTCACGCCAGTATCGCAGTCATCCAGCACAACGACATCATCAGCTCGAGACCCGATCCCGCCCACTCGTTCTTTGTTGATGAGCACGCGAGGCGTTTCTTCTCTCGTCAAACCCGGGAGACTGGCGAAGGGCTGTACAGTCAGACTTGTGCCCATCACAATCGCAAGATCTGCCTGGGCAGGTAACATCCTCGCTTCAAAGAACGCGGGAGGCAAAGCTTCTCCGAAAAATACGATTTCTGGCTTCACCAGCCCTTGACAAGAATGACATCTGGGTATCGTCTGCTTCTCGATATGTGTCTTGATTTCTTCGTCGGGGTAGGGCAGTTTGCATTCGATACAACTCTGTCTCGCAAAGGAACCATGCGCTTCGATCATTTTGTCATCCGGGACTCCAGCTTCTCGTTCCAAACAATCGATATTTTGCGTAAAGCATTTCGACAGCAGACCTTTTCGATTCAGAAGACTGATGAATGAATGCGTGATGGTCGGTCGATACTTGCCGGGATATAGTTCATGCGCCAAAGCGTAGAAAGGTTCGGGATTTTTTCGGAAATAACTGATATCGAACACGGCTTCTGCGTATGGGAGATTCAGTCGTGCGAGGTTGGCATAGAGTCCTGTTTCGGGCGATCGAAAATCTGGGATTCCGGCACTGGTGCTGATTCCTGCCCCCGTCATGACTACGATGTCTTCGCATTGCCCGGATTTCATGTATTCTGCGACTGCTTCCAAGGTTCGGCCTGCTAGGGTGATCGGCGGGATCGAGTCCGCGACTGGACTACTTTCTTCGTTGCCCATTCTGTCGAAGGAGTCTCCGGCTGAAAATCTTTGGCTCAGGCTGGTCAGGCCGTGGCCCTTTTTGCGCTTGGGTTTGCCGCTTTGCGGTTGCCCTCGATGGGCTTTGTGTTTCCTCCCTATGGTGTCGGTGATCGGAGCAGAAGAAGTTGAGGTTGATCGTGTAGAGTTGGCGCTTAGAGATTTTGGTGGACGATTAGCAATCTGGTAGCCTGAATTCGAGTATGACGGGAGGACTTGTCTGTCACAGATAGAGCTTGTGTTGCCAGATGACGATAGATAGCTGCAGGAGAACTGTTGCTAGAGCGAATCTTCGGTCTGTGAAGTGCTCCCTGTATACTAGAGATCAGGAAATCTGGCTATGTGCCTTGTGCTTTTTCGCGTTTGGAAGAGGTTCGCATGTGATTTCGTCTGTAAGTACAGGTAGTGGATTTTGGTGAAGGAAGGCCTCGGCTCGAGAGCCGAAAATGACGCTAAGTCGTTGACGTAAAAACGTTGCCAAGCTTAATCTCGAATCTCACGTGCTCCATGAGTTTCGTTCCTTTTGAATCTTTGAACTCTGATGTTGAACGCAACTGGGTCTACTTCACGAGCATCAACATCTCCACCGATACGAGACTCACGGCTATGTCGCAGCCACCTTTGACGACGATCCTCGCGCAGAAACATACGCACACTTCTTATCGGACTTTTGGAATCCCCATCGTTCGCGACCGACCGCACCTAGCAGACGATCGAGAGCACGCCCTCGGACGTAGCGAGAGCTGGCAACGGTGAGAGACTCGCTTGGTCTCATTCGTGAAGAGGCACCGCTGCACGTCAACAGGTTATGCATGCCAGTAGACTGGAAGTGAGGGATCGAGGCGGTGCGAGGGTCCTCGTCCTTTATACAAGATACAGGTAGGTGTTGCGCAGCGGACGCTATAAATGATCGCAGGTAAGATTTCTGGAACCGCATTATGCAAATCTTTCAGCAAGATGACTCTACCATAACGAGTCGACCACGTCGGCTCTTTGCTGTGCCCTCTTGAGCTGATCGAAGCGCTAGTGCCTCTAACACGATCTCAACTTGGCTCGGTTGAACCGCGTACCGACGAAGAGCTTTCCGAATTGCCCAAGATCACGGCCGACTCCATACAAGCAGTTCTGACGAAGCAAATTGAAGAGGGCGTCACAACGATCAGCAGCGACGAAGATGAACGAACGACACTCTTCGATGGGATGTTTGAAGCTTTGTCGCGCGTCGAGCAACGCCGTTTCTCCTGGGATGCCTCTCACTCAGGTCTGCCCACTAATCGACCTCTGAAGAAATGCGCGTATGTCGACGATTGGCCATTCCTTCGCTCGTGTCTTCCGGTGGAACGATGGAAAGACCCCAAAATGACGATGCCTCCCCCGACATGGGAGTTCAATCAGCTCACCAAAGCTTACACAGCTGATTCTGGCTATGCCCCGGATAAGGACCACCTCACTGACGTGGCGAATGCTATGAGAGGGGAGATTCTGGACCTGTATGATAATGGACTTCCGAAGGTCCAGATTGGCGATCCCAATCTGGCGAGCTTCTGCGATGAATCTTGGACGAACAGCTTGCGGGACCGTAGAACTGACATCGAGAAGTGGCTCGGATTAAACGTTCATCCCCACAACTGTCTGCTTCGAGATCTGCCTGAAGACCTCAAAATTGGCCTCCGTATTTATTGGTGCAGCTATCCCAAAGGCGTATACATTTTATCTTGAGCTTACCTAGTATGAGAAGATCGCAGCAAAGTTATTCCGAGAGATGGAATACAAGATATTCTACCTTGGATTCGACTCCCCACATGGTGGAGACTTTGGGCTACCAAAGCATATTCCACCCAGCAAAGCTGTTGTGCTCGGCGTCGTTGGCACGAAGGAGGCTGACCTCGAGGACCTCTCTAGAACGAAGGAAAGGGTATTGTCAGCGGTTGAATTGATTTGCTGAGGCAAGAAAGATTTCTGGAGATGAAGCTCTACAAGAACACCTTGCAGTTTAGGCTCGATGCGGCTTCGCTTCAGCACTGATCACAGTGGAGACGCAGAAGTTGTCATCTAGGCGATTATGTGGGAGGACTTGAAGTTGTGGCGTAATCTGGGCGAGGAATTGTGGTGGAATTGGAGGGGGAATATGTACATATATACAGAGGCAAATCAGTGTTCGTAGAGAGTTGATTTTTCTTCTGCGACCACGGTTTTCCGCCCGCAGCATTGCTCTTATTTCCTTGTCCGTAGGAGCGGTAGTCACGCACGAACTTAAGTGAAAAATTCTCTTGTATATGTAAACGACATAGTGCCTTGCAGTTGCCCTTCACGTCGTTCCCGACTACTACTGTGCTGGCCTCGCATCTCCTGAAGCCTGATTCTCCTCATATGATAAGGTTCACGCTAGTCGGACCCTGGAAAGTGTCCTGTTGGCGGCAAACCAAGCCAAGATTCGAATCTCGCAGAGGTCATCAACCACTCAACCACTATTCATCATCATCGGCATCGGCGTCGGCACCATCAACAATGGCACGTTTGAAGTTCACACTGCTCCACAGTATAAACAAAGTCAAAGCCATGAACACGCCTTTCGCATTCCGCCTGCTCGATCTTCCCAACGAGCTGGTCTCGACAATTATCGAGCATGTTGAGTCGGTGGCTATCCTGAAGACACTATGCCGTACATGCCGAAGGCTGCAATACTTGACAGAGCCTGTCCTCTACCGGTATGCTCTCATACGCACTGGCGTGGAAACCGAATTCATACACGGTGCCATCACCCACCACACACGAGGAAGGGATCGGGCGGCTGCTCTCGAGAAGATCGACATCCCTTGCCATCCACGATTTCATCAAAACTTCCAGGAAGTGGCCCGTATACTGGCAGCAGTGTCTAACCTGAAGGAGCTCATGATCGAAAGTCCGGAATGCAATACGAGCGATTTTGAAAGCGAAGCAGAATGGCAGCAAATGGTGGGCTCCCTGTTTCGGCCATTCCGGGACGCGCTATCTGGCATTATCACAGAGCGTCTGCCGCTGCAGAAGCTGCAGAAACTTACTCTACATATTAATGGTAGCGATTCTCCATACTGGACACTTGATCAGTGGAGCGTGTGCCTGTTTCTGCTGCCCTCACTCGTATTTCTCAAGGTCTCTTGCATCAATCTCCTCCACGACATACCAGGTGGTCCTACCAGTAAGGCCATATGTCCACTTAGACACTTGGAGCTGGAAGAGGCGAATATCACACATACAGGACTTCGTTACATCCTGGGTCTACCTCGGGCTCTCGAGATACTATACCTCGGCGAGAACTGTTACAACATACGCCACTTTGGTGAAGAGGTTGACCCAACTTCAAATCACCTTTTCACGTCCGACTCTGCTGCGTCTGTAGAGGCACTGAAGCAGCAGAGCCATTCGTTGAAACAACTGACCTATGCGACAACCGATAAATACTATCAACACCGCCAGCGTCGGCTGACCAACCGTAACAAAGGTCCCACCGATGCTGGCTTTGCCGACTTTCACTGCCTGGAATCTGTCACACTTATTGGCTACTGTCCCAATTTCGAGCGAGCGATCATGTCAAGTCGATCACCGCCAATCCTGAAAAATCTGACCTTCAAATCCGATAATGCCTTCAGGCCGGGCTCTTACGGCGAGGCAGAAAGTACGTTCAGCATGATACCATTTCTGCGAGCACCATCTAGCTCGGTACCGCCCACTCTGGCAAACCTTAATGTCGTATACCACAATCCGCCACTATCACCACAAGATCTGACTCCATCGACACGAATATTCATCGAGACTGCCGCCAAAGCGACTGGCAAGGTCGGCATCAACCTGCGTGTGCTTTCGGAGGACAGGACGAACTATTTCCCACCTTATCTGTACGGCGAGCCCACTCCGGAGGAACATGTCGTGTATGATGGAGATTTTACGCAAAGCTTTGCTTCGATCGGCGCTAAAGCATCTAGTCGAGTGATCTTATGGGGTCCGATCGAGGATTGAGGTAGAAGTCTGCTCTCGCATCAAGATGGCGATGAGGACCGATCACGTTCTTCTTGTTGATGGGGTATGGACAGCATGAAGACAATAACAATGTCGTTCCCATAGCAGCTTCGCAATACAGCATTTAATTCAACTACTTCCGATCTAAATCTCACTCGGCAGACAAGACAGGATAGGCTTCAGCTTCTCCAATACAACAGCCTGATCTTCAGCGCTAGCATCAGTCTTGCTCAAATCTCCCACACTAATACTCGCATAACAGCCCTTAGTCCCCACGACCGTCCTCTCCGTAGGCAGCTCATCACTCCCACAAGTCTCCACATCCGGTGCTCCCACAATCGGAACCTTAGGATAAATCCTGCTCAACACGAACTTGAAATCCGAAGCAGATTTACACGTCTCACTAACAGCCGGAAAATTCACATTCAACCTAAACTCAAAAAAAAATTCATCAATTAGCATTCATTCATTCTTCCACCACCCTCTCATTCATTCAGAAAGAAACTCACCACGTATCCCTCGCCATCCAAGGCCTCTCCCTCTCCGTCAACGTCTTCGTAACATTCGTACTCAATTCCGCATAAATCTTCACATACTCTTCCACCGGGGAATTCCAAGCGGTCTGCGACCCCGTCGATCCCGAGAAAGCTATAGCCGGAATCCCGAATTTCGCCGCTTCGACTGCGGCCCCCACAGTTCCGGAAATCGCCGTCACGATTCCCAAATTCGTGCCGACGTTGAAACCTGTGACGGCGAGATCGGGTGGGCCGCCAAAGAATTTTGGAGAGAGGGTTTGGATTCCGTGGCGGATTGAGGGGACGGGGTAGGAGTTTACGTACTATTATGTCAAAAAGAAATTCAGCGTTCATTATTCTCACTCAGCTGGTCCCTCCTATGATAGGATAATTTCTACTTACATTCCATCTCGGCTCACTCTCATTTTTTCCTGTGGGCGGGGAGTTCGGAGGACATGACTGAAATTCACAACCTTTGTCTCCGACTTGTGTCGGTGGCGTGTCGGCAGAACCTGTCCCGGATTCGTTTTCTGCGGGCGCGGAGATTATTGAGGAGAAGTTGGCGCCGCAGGTTGTGAGGGAGTTGTAGAGTTCCCGGATGTTGATTTCGGCCCAGCCGTCGTCGTTGGATTGGAGGATGTTGATTGCGAAGGATGTGGAGGGTAGGAATAATGGGAGGAGGGTGAGGGGACGCATGGTTGTTGGTTTGGAGATGGGCAAGGGAATGGGGGGGTTGATTTGTAGGGGAAGATTAGGATGGTTTTGTCGGGTGCACGGTTTTTGATATATTTTTCTTCATGTCCTTGGATTTGGAGGTTGATAATAGTGAAGAGGTTATTGGGCAAAGGATCAATACACGTGCCGTGGACAGATTCGAGATGACCGACAAATTCTTGGCGGCGTCATCTTCACTTGAGCTTGGACTATTTCTCGTAGTCGCCTTGGAGCTGATCAACTGTTAGCAACCTCTCGGTAATTCTGTACAAAGACTCCCGTATGCTGGCGATCTTGTATAGTGGAATTCTGGAGGAGGAGGGAATTGAGACGTGTCGAAAAGTCTAGGGCGGAAATCTACCATTCGCAATTTCTCAGCGTCCTTCGGTTGCAGCTCCAACTACGTTAACAAGATCGATCAAAAGTTTTATGCAGATGGACTTCATCTTGAAATCTGCTTGGGCACTTCAGCATAATTTCACGATCCAATTTGGTGAATTTACATTATGCCACACCTTATTACAATAATCTATACATCGTTATCTACATCAGGGATACTTTTCCCATACGTCTATCTACAGCATCGCCATGCCGACGAGTCCGACAGCACCAGCAACCCAGCCAGCAGCCTTGACATTGCTCGCAGCACCAGTGTAGGCGGCAGGAGTGTTACCGCTGGCAGTAGCAGAGGACCAAGAGCCGGATCCAGTGCCACTAGGAGCAGCAGAGGACCAAGAGCCAGATCCAGCACCGCTTGGCGCAGCGACACCAGATGGAACACCAGTGGCCACGGTTCCGTTGCTCCAGCCAACACTTGCTACGTATGAGGTAGCGACAGGGTAAGTCTTGGCGATGGAAATCGTTGGGAAGTTCCATAGCGTTGTGGTGGAAGTGGTAGTGCTGTAGGCAACCACTGCTGGCTTGCCGTTGACCACAGTTGTGGAGGAAGCCGGAGTGCTTGAGGCTGGGGTCGAGATGGCAGTAGCCCATGAGCCTGAAGCGGTTGGAATGAGGATAGTGGTTGAGACTGCGATGGAGGTGGTGTCGATCACGGTGCTGCGGGCTGGGCAGTCGGTCACTGTCTCGGCACAGCTGGTGATGGTGATCTCCTTGGTGGACCAGAAAGTGATAGTCGATGGCGCTGGTGAAGAGACCGCGGGGGTGGAGACGGCCTCCTCGGTGCATGTCGTGGTGGAGGCAATGCTAGAAGATGCAACAATGTTGCTCACTGCTGGGATGCTTGTTATTACGCTGTCCGAGAGAGAGCTGGCGGACGCTGTGCTGGTTGCTACTGAGCTTACTGTGCTGCTTGTTGTAGTAGAGGAGCAGTACTGTCCCTTCTGGAAAGAGTTCACGAGGCCAGCGACCCATGAAGCTGCGTCCTCTGAGTAATATTTGAAGTAGTTGGTGTGTGCCTCAACCGTGTCGGCACCGAGGCCAGGTGCGCAAACAAGATCATCAATTTGGCAGTATGAGCGAAGGCGTGGAGTGTAAGAATCCAAGATCTGAGCTTGAGCCTCAGTGCGAGAACCTCCTGTACCCACGCCGGCACTTCCATTTAGGACGTTGTATGGCTGGTTTGGAAGATGCTGTGGGTCACCGAAGAGAAGACCAGCGGCGATGTTGCAGCTGGCTCCAGAAGTCTGGCCGAGTCCAGTGAAGTCACCACAGGTTCCGCCTGAAAGGATATCTCCAATGATGTTGGCGCCCTCGCTGTAACCGCTCACAACGAGCTTGGTGTCTGGGCACTTGGCATAGTAGGATTGGATTTGCTGAAGGCCGTTGGTCTCGCCAGTCAGGACTGATGGGCAGTAGTCGGTGGACGCAGCATCGTAAACAACGTCCTCGTAGTCGCAGGTCAGACCCGAGAGATCCGCGCAGATGTCGTCCACAAGTGTTCCTTGACGACCTGGATAAGGCTCGTTCCAGCCTCTGGCGATGAAGATGTGCACATCAGTGCAGGATCCGCTGCCGGTAGACTGTGCCAAGATGGCAGGCGCGGCCAGGAGAAGAGAAGAAATGGTGGTTCTGGTGTACATGCTGGGCAAAATTATTAGAAAGAATAGGTAAATTTAAAGAGTGTAGGTAATTGGGTAGTCTTCGCGCCTCTCCAAACTTCTCAAAAATTAATGGCAGGACGAAAGAAAGAAGACGTGACGGGAGAAATAGTGAGATGAGGCGGTGGATATATCTTGGCCGTCATCGCTAGGCAATACGGATCTAGCTCCTGACACATGCAGGTCGAGCAGACGTTCCTGGACAATGAACCGCGATCGATAGTTCCGCGGCCATTTGGGGAATCGCTTGTCCGCAGATGTTGTCGGTTATTCTTCGTACGAGATGTTAGCGTGCGGGTCTTGGTGCCATATTACCCCATCTCGCCTTATAGCCGATATGGCGCGAACAAGGGTTGCGCGTAATTCGTACAGCACAGGTCGGAAACGGCATCGACTTCCGTACAATGCATCTTTCAATGCCAAATCGCTCAAGACAGAAGTGTATCAGCCCAATGCTCCTGTTTGTGTGTGAACAACGTAGACGTAGCAGCGCTTGCAGTCCGAGTACCGCCGCCAGTATGTTGCCTTCTGATGCCAAGTGAACCCATCAAAAACGTCGCGATAAAATAGGACCCATTGCGCATCGAGTCGCCCAGGCACTGATCGCGTATGTAAACACTAGTTGTAGTATGAAGAGAGACGTGAAGTTGAAGTCTAAACTTTGCGCTCGCGATTGCCAAGCTTTCGGGTCACGACAAAGCTCAGACTACGACACACTACAATGATATCGCCCAAGCGTGTCGAGAGCGTCATTATCGATGAGTATGCTACGCATTACCTTCAGCAGATACGATGGGGTTTACAGATGTACGCCTGGGCGTGAAATGAAGTACCTACGATCCCTTCCCAGCCACGGCTGTATCACGAACCACTTCCGCGAATCTGGTTCAGCGCCGATGTGAGAATCTATCTCAAGATATGAAGGAAGCTGGAAAAGATAGCTTTGAGGCCAATAAGCATCGGTCATTGCTCGGATCCGCGACCTGGTGGACAATCTAGTAAGAGGAGGCATAGGGTGTGATACGGGAGGATACTTGAGCCAGAGGGTACTTGAGCCAGATGATACTTGAGCCAGAGGATACTTGAGTCAGAAATGCTAGTGGTGGGTCATATGCTCTTTCGACGTCTATCTCTACTGGAGCTGGTCGTCTGTACACTATGAACATCGCCGTATCTGCTGCAGTCCCGAACCATCAGGGCTGCTCCGTATCACTCCATTGGCTAAAAGTGGCGCCTCGCCTCCGCACTGGTTTTACAGCATGTCAGGGCCGTCATCAAGTGCCGAGCTTTCACGGGCGCTTCCCTTCTGGAGGCCAGTTGACATAGTCAAGCGGCTCAGGTCCCGTCTCGCCGCCCTCTGAGATTCTCCATTCGTCGGGAAGACAGGCCATGAGCTCAACATCGCCGGCAGCGCAAACCGTGCCGTTGTATTGGAGCTCGTCGCCATAGGTTTGCGGATTGGCCTTAGCCATGGTCTTCCAGATCCACTTCGACGACCACTCGAAAAGCCGATCCGAGGTCTCCAGCTTCCACCGTTCGAAAGGGCCCAGCTCTGTTTGTCCTACCTCTTCGACCCTGTTCGCTAGCACACTGTGGAAATGTGGATTCGTGCTTTTCTCAGCCTCCTTCACCACCGCCTCATCTGGAACAGTCGTCGCAGCCAAACTGTCGAACAGCTCAGCATAATTGGCGACGATGCAGGCTCTCAGGATCTGCGGAAGCATTCCAGGTGACATTTCCGCGAGCTTGCGATACGTCGACTCGGATGCAATGGCCGGGTACCAGATGAGATAAGGCATATCGAAAGCCTCGTCGGTAACCTTCGAGAGTACGTTGTTCATGATGAATCTGGCGCAGATAGCCTGGCTCAACTTCCAGCCAGCGCGGCCCTTAGGACGTGCCTGCTTGGACCACCAGACTGCAAACATGGTGTTGTGGTATACTCCCCGAACGCAGCATTCGTACTCTCCAGTGATCATACTTGGTCTGCGGAGACGTGCATATCGGTCGATATCACCATAATATGCTGCCATCAGAAGAAGCAAATCCTTGTCGACTGTCGGGAGCTCTGTCGGAAGTGGCTCGGTCAATAGTCTCACCAGCAGCTCGCCATGTCGAACGTCGTGTCCTTCTGCCTCAGCAAGCGGGTATCGGTTGACGATATCAATATTCATGTCTTCTGTGATGTCGAAAATGTTCTCTCGATATCCTGGTCCGTCGAGCGAAGTTATGCATTCTACACCGTCGATGATCTCGGGCACATCCGCCGACGAGAATTCTTGACGAACATTCAAGGATGACTCGACTGCTGTGTCTCCGTTCAGATGAGCAACTGGCAGGTTGGCGCTGCTGGCATTAATGGTCCTGGTGTAGTCGTTCATAACCTCATATCTGGTCGGTTGTGCCATGATGCGGTCAAAGATCGCCAGATTGCCACACTCGCGGGCCTCCTCTGCGATGTGCACTTCCGGCACAATGTCGAGCTCTTTGTAGAGGTCGGAATAGCCAGCGACAGCGCACGCGCGGCCGACTTGATAAGACATTTGAGGATAAGCGGTGACCAGTTGGCGATATGTCGACTCGGAAGCTACTTCGGGGTGCCAGATGCAATAGGGTGTTTCTTCGTCCGAAGCGATAACAGGTACGCGATTGCTCATGATGTCTCGTGCATTGAGGGCTCGAGTAAAGGAGGGCAGGATGCCGCGCAAGTCCTTTGCGAAACCATCGTTGAAGCGGATACCTCGAATGGTACACAGGCGCAGCAGTGGTAGCCCAAGCGCGCTTGGAATGCGTTGACCTTTGATGGCCGCGATGCAATCATCTGGATCGTACTGCTTGGTCTTCAGCCGTCGTCGCAGGTCTTGGACTTGATCTGTCGAGGCCATGATGTCGCTCCGCGATTTGATTCGTGATGGAAGGCGACGTTTATGTAGCTCGCGCTTTGCGACTCGCGCGCTGCTTACACAAGACGACTTTTGCTTGATTTCCGCGAACTGCGCGCGTCTTGGTGCTGCGTGTTTGTTGAGTCCGGAGCGTTGGTCTGCAGCAGGTGCTGCATTGAATAAGTGTTCAGGCTCCAACATCGGAAACTAAGCCTAATCAAGCCGATGTCACGTGCATACACTTCACATGTCCGTGCGTGGCCCAACGCAGCGAAAGTCGCTTGGAAGGAGGGCATGTACTATAACCCGCGGGCCATTGCGATCCTGGAATCGTACTGAAATGCGCGCACTTGTCGCAGACGAACTATTTGTCAAGGTCGACAGCGATACGCACAGCGAAGCTTTTGCAACGCTGAAGAATGAGCACGCGCGGCCAAGGAGAATTGAGGGATCTATGAGCGTACTTTTGACTCTGGATGAATACAAACACTCCTCTAGAGATCTGTCCCTCGGTTATTTCAGCGCAAATTCGACAAGCCGAATCCCAAATCTAGCACTCAGAGCAGATGGCACGTGGCTGAGCGACTCGTCCACTCGAGCGCCAGGATGCAGCGTGCCAACAATCCCGATGACTACGGCTTGGAGCATTTGGCTACCGTGACCCAATCCTCTGCAAGGGTTGCTGCCGCCTTCTTAGCCAGCTTGGCGATGTTCAAATGGTTTTCGTCGGCTACTTCTGACTTCGCATTTCGAATCATTTCCTGAGTCTCCTCGATACTCTTGCCATTTTCAGTCGCAGTCTGACGAAGGTCCCAAATTGCTGCAGTCATCGTGGAGCCCTGATAAATTTGCTCTTGGCGTGTCACGAGCTGCCATCCTTTCTTTCTCATGTGTTCGGCAACTTGGTCGATGGAAGCGTTTTGACGGCCTCTGGTGATGCCATTGGCACTTTCTTGCAGCTCGGTCTTGTAGTCGTTCAAGTTCGCTTGGCCCTGCAGAAAGTTGCTGACGCCTTCCATCGCCTAAAACATCAAGATTAGCAGTGGAGTCGTGCTATCGACTTTGCAGACTACTCACAAATGCGACGGCCGTGGCGCCACGCATCCCTTGAGGCACATCTGAGCGGATCCGGCCCGCCTCGTATTGTCCCGTAATACCCTTTTCAATTAAGAGGTGGGCTGTGGTATCGACATTGGGAGCAGTATTCCTCGTAACGTCAGAGATGGCCTGTGGAAAGTGACCCAGCAGTCAGTGAATCAATATGACAGGATATGTGGAACGATGGCCCACCGATTCAACTTCTCCTTGGCGTACTTACTTTGTTATCGGGCGAAATGTATTTGATGAATTCGTTGAATGAGCAGGCAGGATTTCTGGTACCAGAGAGTTTGGCACAGCCAGTCGCGATCTTGTTGGCGGGCTTTGTGCCGCCCTGGGTGTCGACTAGATAGGCGTAATAGAAGAACAGGCGCTCATACGCACCAGGCTCCGAGAATGCGTTCACCCCATTGCAGAGAACGAGCAAAGCTAAGAAGATGGCTGCAAAGAACCACATCTTGCCGTTAAGAAGCTCGTCAAGAGAACTGTTGCTCAAGTCTTGGTGAAATGGTGTCTTGCCGTCGGATGCGGACGCCGGTATGGTTCCAAGCTGTAACCTTGCGCTCAATATCAGAAAACTGGCTGCGAAATGCCAGCAAAGTTGCGGAAAGCGGCGAGAATCTATTCGAAGCTGTTGAGCCAATGCATCGACACTGCTGGCATCAATACACGAATGTCAGCATCAGGCGCTTTTCGGTTGGGTTTGATGATCTGAGTTACCGATATATGGTGATGTAGGCACGAGCTTTCAATGAGGTTGGGAAAATAAAGACCGAAAGGGCATGGATCGAGTCTTGTCACGAGAAAGCCTGTGATCCACGCTCCGCCGTTCCGAAGGAATTTCCTCACTTCATGCATGTGAGCTGCGTCCGTGCACTCGGCCAGCCATGCCTTTCGTGTACATTTAAGCCACTTGTCCCTTCTGGCTGTTCTAAAGTCATCGCAATCACACCGAGTTAACCAACAATTAAACCTCGACGGCTACGAAGATACTGACAGGCAATACACAATACATCGTACGCAAGATGAAAATCTCCTTGCTGGTCATCCTGCCCGGACTGCTCAGCCTCGCATCCGGCGCACCTCCATGGGAAAGCAATGCGACTTTGACACACACAAACTGGACACACAATCCGGGTCTTGCGTCCCCCTCGTACCATGCACTTGTGGCTAGCGACGACTGCGAAGATCTTCAAGTACAAGCGGGCGATTCATGCGAGTCAATCGCAGCGGAGTGCAAAATCTCAATTTCGCAGCTAGGAGAATACAACCCAGCAGAGCGACTTTGCGACTCTCTACAGATCGGCCAACACGTTTGCTGCTCTCAGGGAACACTGCCTACACCAAAGCCGCAAGATGATGGAACATGCGCGACCCATGTGGTTGAAGAACTTCAACTATGCGATGAAATCGCGCGCAATTACAGCATCACAACCGACGACATCGAGGATTTCAATTCGCAGACTTGGGGATTCATGGATTGTGCAAATCTCCAGGCTTATCAGGTTATTTGTATCAGCTTGGGAGATCCTCCCATGCCTGCACCCGATCCAAATGCAATTTGCGGCCCTCGAGTCAATGGCACGCTGCCTCCTACAGATGGGTCGGACATGGCTGACTTGAACCCATGTCCCGTGGGAGGTATGTTCATGATCTTTAGAAAGACTCTAGGCTATTTGCTGACTTCTTGTATAGCCTGCTGCAACATTTGGGGCCAGTGCGGAATGTCTCATGAATTCTGTGAGATCACCGATTCGCCTTTCCCGGCGCCTGGTACTGCGGCGCCCGGACTGAACCAGTGCATCTCAAACTGTGCAATGCTCATTGCTGATGCCAGTCCCGTCCGTAATCCCCTCACAATAGGGTATTATGAAGGTTTCAGCGTCGATCGCTCGTGTCTGATCATGGAGCCGAAAGACATACCGACGGATAGGTACAGCCATCTGCACTTCGCTTTTGCTAACATATCGTCGGAGTTTGAGGCAAGTTTCTACTAGAGCCTAGCTAAATGAACAAGTCTGACAAAAAATCCAGATACAACTCTTCGGTTCCGTAGCCGCTCGGTGGGCCTCGTTCAAATCATTGTCTGGTCCCAAGCTTATTGTCTCCGTTGGCGGCTGGGCGTTCTCGACATCAGAGGAGACCCACGCAATATTTGGCCAAGCGGTATCGTCCGGACATCGCCAGACCTTCATCGAGAGTATAGTCAGATTCATTTCCAATCAGGGTATCGATGGCGTGGACTTCGATTGGGAGTATCCAGGAGCGTCGGCTTCTCCCGGGATTCATGCAGGAGATCCTGAGAACGATGGGCCACGATACTTGGAGTTTCTGAAAGAGCTGCGGGAGGCTTTGCCTTCTGATAAGAGCATATCCATTGCGGTTCCGGCCGAGTATTGGAACTTGAAAGCGTTTCCCGTTGACGAGATGGCTGATGTAGTAGACTACATTGTCTACATGACGTAAGTGCATCGATCTTCGAGCCATCACGATACCAATACTCATTAACCACAGGTACGATATGCATGGTCAATGGGACTATGGCACCAAGAACTCGGTCTCTGGCTGCGAAAATGGCGACTGTCTCCGCTCGCATGTAAACCTGACCGAGACCATTACAGCACTCTCCATGATCGTCAAAGCAGGAGTACCGCAGAGCAAGGTCGTGGTGGGCGTTACGAGTTATGGTCGAAGCTATCAGCTGTCAGAGTTTGGATGTACTGGGGCCGCTTGCACGTACACTGGCCCCGAGTCTAATGCCACGCCTGGGCGCTGCACAAACACTCCTGGAATCCTAGCAAACGGCGAAATCGACGAGATTCTCGCAGATAACCCGACAGCATTGACATGGTACGATACGGATTCGAACTCCGACATTCTGGTATATGATGCCATCCAGTGGGTTGCGTTTATGTCCGATACCACGAAGACGTCTCGCCGCAACCACTACCTCTCTATCGGGTATCTCGGCACTGCAGATTGGGCTATCGATCTCTTGCACAACGGCGCGACCATCACCGTTGAAGAGCCCGATCCAGATTGCAAAGACGCGGCGAAGTACAAGACCATCGATGATGTGGCGAAGGACTCCTCCATCCCTGCTTCGTGCATCAATATTTATGTCCTGGCTGCTCTTTCATCACAGCTGACCACGGCGCTGGACAGCTATCGATCGATAATGGATGACGACTACGAGGACAAATTTGAAGCCTTCTCCGCGCAAATCAGGAAGTCGGCTCCAGCAACGATGGACAAATTCTATAAGGCCGACATGGATGATTACTTCGATTGTCTTTGGGCAGTGCCGAACAACGGTGGCGATGGAACAGGCTACACAAATCATACTGGTGGCTGTCCACCCCACCAGACACCAGACGAATACGTCGGCTCGTCCCACAATATCTACTTCGTCTACAAGGACAAAGATCTCTTCTGCAAGGATGCTGCCGTCAAGTACGGCCTTGATTGCGACTGGATGGTGTATTCGCCCTGGAGAACCATATCCTGCTGGACCCATGATTGCGACGCTTGGGGCAATCTCTGGATGCCACGAATCAAGCGGAAATTCGAAATCGTCGACCCAGCGGCAGAAATCAAGGACAGCTTGTCAACCTACACCGACTTTGCCGACTGGTTGAAGGAAGCTGCGCTGATGGCCGAATTAGACATGTTTCCCGCATTCCTTCCGGACGCGATCGATGCTGCATCAGTAATTGTCTTCACAGTCGAAGCTGCATTGGAGGCCATACAGAACGTCGCAGACCTCGGAGAAGATGCACAGGAGCAGGAGAAGAAGGAGATGATGTTCCTCTTCATTTCGTCCATCTTGATCGTGTTGCCTGGTGTCGGCAGCCTGGCCAGAACGGCAGCGATCGGTCGCCTTGCTGCATATGCTGCAGCAGGTGGCAATCTAGCGCTGATCATCTACGAGGTTGTCGAGAATCCTGACAGTGCTGCCATGGCAGTCATCGGCATCCTGTTGGGAGGCTTGTCTCTGCGCGATTCTTTGGCCTGGCAATCAGCTGGCCGAGCGTCTCGCTCCATCAGCCAGACAGAGATGGCGAAGCTTGGAGATGGGGTTGCCAGTAAGATAGAGACGATGCGACAGATTCGAAATGGGTGCAGATTCTGAGCTGCATCCAGGACTATTGGGACTGGCTCACGTGGAATGGCCAGGAGACTGAATCTCGAAACGTCGAGTAGATTTGGAGTCATACAGACATACAAATACATGAAGTGACCTCGTGAAAACCAAACTCCTTGCTGCTACTTTCAGCTGAATGCCGTCGAAATGGGTGTCCAACGCCAAGCCATTCGGGGAGGATGCAGTGTCATCCCACGTTGGCATATGCAAACCGGCCGTAACTTCGTTCACATGCAGCTGAGCAGCCTCGCCTCTCTGCAAAATGCCTCTTCTTCAAAAACATCACCGCGACCAAAACGCAACAAGATCATCAAAATCCCTCTCTTCCAACTCAGCCACACACTTCTGATTCTCCGGTCGTAACTTATTATACATATCCGCCGCAGTCTTAAGCAAAGCCTTCTTCTCCTCCGGATTGCCCTCCTTGCCTTTATGCAAAGCACTCAGCCAAGTCGTCCGGGCAATCTCATGCTGAAAAGATCCCACATCGAGATTCCAGCTTCGAAGTGCTTGATTAATGAGATTTGTGATAGTCCCGATCACGCATGCAATGCTGCGCGACTTTGTGGCGTAGGTCGGCGGTGCGGTGATGCGTTTGGCCGAGAGTGTCGATATATTGTTTGAGTGCGCGTCGATGATAGATTTTACTCTCGCCGATCCTGTCTTGATCGTACCGGACGTTTCCTAAAACGTGGTAAAAGCGACCGGTTCGGAAGGACTCTTTGTCTTCGCGGCCAAATGCTTCTTCGCGGTCGAGGAGGCCTTTTTCTAGTAATCGAGAAGCTGCTTCGTGATCGCCTGTTAGCCGAAGCTTTTTTCAAGAGCGAGGAGGCCTCTTCCACTGGGAAGAAATCAAGTCGAATGGACAAAACATCGTCACTGCTGCAAGGTAGGCTTGCTGCAAATTCTTGATCCTGCGTGGTTATCAGAATGGCACCGCTGCCAAAAACTGGGTTGAATTCGTCGAGGTCACTGGGATTTTCAACGCCATCGAACACGAGAAGCCAGTGTGCTTTCAACTCATTCTTCACGCCGTTGACTGGTCGTTTCTTTGGTTCAGTGAGCCAAGCCTGGGTGAATTATACGTCAGCAACCTCTTGTGCTTCCTTGATTCGTATTTATCCAGAGGCGAGAACAAGCATTAGGAGCTGGGCACCCTACCTTAGCGATTTCACGGCTGGTATGTGGGTCATTGGCCTGCTTTTCCTCTTCAAGACGAAGCTGCACGGCAATGCGGCCAAAAGTCTGCCGCATCTTGGCCACGTTATCAGCCTGTACAACAGCCGTTCTGTGCCTCCCAAGCAAATGATGCTTCAGCTTCGAGAGAGTCGTGCACGGTCGCAGAGAAGCCTTCGGCCGTTAACGGAGCAGTGAGGGGTGCCCAGACGAGTGAATGGGAAGCAAGTGCTCATTCGTCAGGCTGGAGAAAACTGCAAAGACAAGCTTGCTTGGTCTCTTCGACGGCGTGGGTGCATGGGACAGGGCAGGTACTGATAGTGCGGTGCCTACCCAAAGCTTAAGCTAGAGATCTTTACGAATTAGGTTTAAAAGCTTAAGGACCGCGGCCTAGTTCTACTAAATAAGATCGGTAAGCTTACTAATAAGTACCTTATCGTCGACGATCTCGAGTATATATTCGATAGTTAGTCTAATAGCTAGTAGTAAGCGGAGTAGATCCTTAACCCTCTAAAGGAGTACAAAGTCTCTATTTAGATACTATACCTCCTATACGGCGATTAGAAGGCTAAGAGCGACTATATATTAACCGACCTAGGCTACTCTTACGTTATTAATAGTACTAAGGTCGAGGGCTATAAGAACTTAATAGTCTCGTAGGTTGCTAAAGTATATCGTAACCTAACGGCTCTCCTAGGCTTAAACTCCTTCGTACTATTCGCTTTCCCTATAGCTATTTAGTCGAAGGTCTTAGTTATATCTCCGATACCTTAGTCGGTAGGATTTCTTAGTTAAGGCATATTATTTAGAACGAAGTTAAATAAGTTCTCTAGTAGTCTAGTTTATAGAGGAAGAACTTAAGGAATACCTAACCGATTAGGAGAAAGCTATAAAGGAGAAGGCTACTAACCTCCTCGTTAATTAAGCCCTCTATAAGGACTAGTATTTCGGTACTAATAGCTTTAATACCTATAGAGGAGTCCTTTAGAACCGACCGGCGGATAAGATTATCGCTAGTAAGTATTACGGTATATTAAAGTAATAATAAGTCGGTATAGTAGATTAAGCGATGTTTTTATATATTAATAGTACCTAGGAATAATACTACCCTAGGGGTATTATTACGGAGTTTCTAAAAATAGCCTTAGCTAAGAGCGCTAAAGTAATAAATAATATATAACTATTTGTTTGTTTTAAGCGTTTAATATAAAACGTGTCTAGTTAGATACGAAGAAAGGGAGGGATATTACTATATTTAAGTTAGCTAGTAACCGGCCCTATACCCTTAGGCTAGGTACTAAGCCTATAAAAGAGGCCTCCTTCTATAGAGTAGACAGATTATTTACCTCGTATAGTATACTATTTACGTTATACTTCTATAGTGCCTATATTATAGGGCTCTAGTTACTAGCCTAAACGATAAGTTTACTATCCTATCTTACTAAGTATAGCTGCCTATATTGCTATAGGTTATACTACCTTCGGAGACTTATTCTACGACGACTAAGATAGCATTAAATACGTCCTTACTACTAACCTCTTAGCGGTAGGAAGACCTATAATAAAATTAAGGGTAAGCTTAGCGAATAGCTTGTTTAGAATAGGAACTTAGGAAGTAAAGATAGCTCGCTAAATAGCAGGTATCGTAGTGCTTTAATCCTCTAGCAAATAGTATATATATTTATATATTCCTTTATATCCCGCTTACTATTTAGCTAGTAGTATATACGTAATAGTAGCTCGTACGATCTCTCTATACTATAGTAACTAGCAAGCTTACTATTATAGTATTACTTAAGAATCTCCTATCTAATCGATTGCTTAGCGGCTATATATAAGCGGCCCTTATAGCGTAGGTAACTAGCACTATCGACTAACTAGTTATTCTTACTCTTACTAGATTAAGTCTCTCGTCTACTTATAAGCCGAGTAAGGCGGATAATAGTAAAGGCGTCCCTCTACTAAGTACGTAGTAGCTTACTTATAAAGGCTTAACCGTTACCCTATATAAGGTCGCTTAATAGTACTCTCGCTATCTTACGTAGCACGTACTATATATATCTATTAGTACTAGCAGCCGGATTAACTATATTAGTACTATCGTCGCTATTACTATAAATAGCGACGTTAATTATAGGATCCCTATAGTCTATATTAGCGTATTTGTTCTTTACCGTAACGCGCACTATTAATATAGTAGGAATACCTTTGTATTATATACTATCGCGGTATCTAGAGGGCCGCTTATCCTACTACTATATAGCAATATCTATAGCAATCTTATATTATAGGGTAGGAAATAATAAATTAATAGACTAGGTTCCGCTATCGTAATTAGGTCGTCTTAATAGACTATTAGTAGGGTTGCTTACGCCTAGCCGAAATAGAATATCGAAATCGAACCTAGCGAGGTAGACGGCCTATCTAGCCTATCGACCTATAACCCTAGTAACCTTAGTAATCCTACGAAGGTTATTATAGTCCGTATAGACCTAGATAGTATGCTATATACCGTTAAGACAGTGCCGCTAATGCTTAAAGGCTTCTACGATTACTAATAGCTCTTACTCGTATTATAGTTACTCGCGATAGATCGTTAGGTAACTTCTTATTACGTATAAGCCGAGGCTTCTTTAGAGAGGCTAACATAAGCGGGAGGCTAAGACAGAATAATTAGTATAAAGGTAATTCTAATTAGTAAGTAGGTAACATAAGTTAAACGCCTCGAGCTATAAGGGTATCCCGGCGTTCCTAAATACAAAGGAGACATCTTATCTATAGTCGTAAGCGACGTAAGCGACGCTATCGCTCTCGACCGCTCCTATCGCTTCTAGTAAGATAGAGCGACAGCTTAGCTCGCTAGTCTTAGCGTCGCTCTAAGATTATATAAGGACTCTAACTAATTAGATCTGTAATACTATCCCCCTCCTTAAGCGGAATAGTCCCTTATTCTAGAACTTTCTAATTCCTAACTTCTTTATTATACTAAAGTTATCGAAGGACTTGTATTCTCGCTAGCGTAAGGAAAATATCGTAAATAATATCCTCGCCGACTGTTTCGAAATGCCGATCTGCTACTTTTATTACGAATAGGCCGGTAAACCCTAGAAGGTCGATCTTCGTTCTAGTCGCTACTCCGAGTACGCCCTATATAGCTAGTCCTATAATATATAAGTTACTTATATAGAGTATAAGAAAATCCGGAAGGCGCGCCTAAAGATAGCTAAAGATCTTAAGGCGGCCGAAGAGGAGGAGGACCTCCTTACGCGGAGGCTCTTCGAGTATCGCGTAAAGGTCCGTCGCTTACGTAAGTCGCTACGTATAAAGGAAGATCGGGAGGCATAAGCTCTTAAGGTAGAGGAAGCCTCTATCTAATAGGCGGAGGAGCTCGAAAGAGAGCTAGGTTCTTTACCTATAGAGCCGATACTATTCTCGTTGCCTACTAACGAGCCGTTTCCCCTAGATAGCCGGTTATAGATGTCTCCTTATAACTAGAGTCGTCTAGATAGGATATCCTAGCCTGTCTCTAAAATCCCTAGTAGGAGTACCGAGAATCTAGTATCCTAAAGGTATATATTCTAAGTATTTCTTGTCTATTTTATATTCTAGCTAGTTAGTCTAGACTATCTAGTAGTATAATTCTTAGCTATAAAAGACATAGTTGCTAGGTACGCTATTAGAGTCCCCGCTCCTCGAGCTATACTACCCTAGGTATCGAGAACTCTAAGGCGCTATAATCGATAGGGTCTAAGAGGTCGTAGGTTCAATTCCTATACTAGCTATTTCTTTTTGTCTAGTTTTAGTATTTTTTAATTATCTACTAACAGTTCTATAGGTTTCCTTTTAGTTCCTAAGTGTTTTCTAAATATAGGTATCCTTTCTACTTAATAAGGTATTTCTAACCTTACTAGTCTAGGATTTTCTCGACTTTAAACTCGTTTTCTTCCTTAGGTTAAAAGTGAAATGTTTCTTAATACGGTGTTTCGGCGTCTGTAGGTTCTAGTATAGAGATATAGAACACTAGGTAGATTTTTGCGTCGTCCGGTAGTTTAAGTTAGTAATTAACTAGTCCTTTAGGCTTATTAATTAAAAATAGCCCGACTTTAACGTAGTCTAGTTTCTTAGTCGATCTCCGGGTTCTTAGATTCTTCGTTAGGAGGTAGACCTTATCCCCCTTTTTTAGCTAAGGTACTATTTTTCGTTTAGTATTATACGGTCCCGTAATCTTTTCTTAAGACTCGGCAATTGCCTTCTATAATTGTTTATATACCTACTTTAAGTCTTCTAAAGCGACTATCGCCTTATCCGTATATAGATACTATAAATACTATTCCCCGAACAGCTATAGATATTTCCTAAAATGTTTCTTTCGTAGTCTTAGATTGTTAATTGTTTAGTGCAAGTTGTACTATAGGCAATAGCGATGCCTAATTGTTTTATACGTAGTTAAAGTAGTATCGTAAGTATACCTCTAAGGCCTAATTCTTAATTTCCGTTTAGCCGTCTATCTATAAGTAGTATGCCGTTAATAGCTTGTGCTTAATTCTAAGTGTCGCTATAAGCGTCTTCTAGTAGTTTAACGTAAAGAGCTTGTTTCTATCCGTAATATAGGTCTTTAGAAATCTATAGTATCGTATAAGTCTATCTAGTACGAGGTATCTAAGTTGCTCTACCGTACTTGCTTCGTTAGTAGGAATAAAGTGTATACATTTCGTAAGCCTATCGACTATAACAAGTATTATATCGTAGCTATGTCCTATAACTAGATCCTTAGACTTTAGTAGTTTCGTAATAAAGTCTATTATAACTTCGTCCTATAGTTTATCTAGTAGCGTCCTAAATTAGATATATCTATACTTAGCGTATCTATTAGCCTTATTATACTAACATTGTAGATATTTCTTAATATATTCTAGAACTCGTTGTCGCATATATAGGAATCTGTTAGGACTAAAGAGGTTATACGTGATTGGTATATAACTAGGCTCGAGTAAAGCTAGGGTCTTAATGCCTTAGGCAGGGCTTAGCGCTTGGCGTTAGGCTAACTAGCCTGCCTTCCTCCCTCTCCTCTTAGATCTCTATCGAATACTACTCGTACCTACTACTACCCTATCTACCTGCTAATATACCCTTCTTATATAGTATTCGATTACCCTTTAAGGGCAGTAGCTAGATAGTTCTTATTTTAAGCTTTTAGCGGTATAGCTACGAACAAGACTAATCTAACTATATTGCGCCCGAAGAACGGGACCTATACGTACTATTCTATCGAAACAACCGTACTAATCATTAAGCAAGGCCTTCTATACGGCCTACTACACTAAGTCAATCGTACTAGACTAATATCTACTAATTCCGCTATATCCGTATCTTAGGGGCTAATAATACATTATTAGTATTACCCCCTACTATAATAGCCGGCTTATTACGAAACAACAACCGTGCTGCCGCTAGCAGCGCTAGCAACGACAATGCTAGTAGTACAGTACCTACTAAAGTGCCTACTAAAGCACCTACTAAAGTGCCTCCTACTAAAGAGCCTGCTACTAGGCCTACCGAAGAACCTGTAATTCTAGGTAACGACCTAGAGTTGCCTGTTAACGACATTCTTAACAATATTGTTAATCGACGATATAGCTAACTAGCCTTTAGCCCTTAACTATTAGGGAGACTTTAAGAAGCCACTTAAAATAGGCTTACTGCCCTACGTTAAGAACAATAGCTAAAGGATAATCTCCTCGAGCTCCGTCGCCTTTAGGAAGCCCTAATAACTAAACTAATAGCGGGACCTTCTTTACTACCTATCTAAAAGAAGGACGCTAAACTTAAGGACTATACCGTATTTAACGGATCTAGTCGAAAGCAGTACAACGACTATATTCGTAACTATAAACTTAACTAGCGCAACGCACTAAGAGCGCTACTAGACGACTATTCCTTAGTCGTATACGCTATGCAGTACATTAATAGCGACCTAAAGCGTATATAGGATAACTATTTCGACTCCCTCGACGACTAGACCGCTATTTAGTAGCAGACCTATAAAACTATTATGCTAGATACCCTTAGAAACCCTATACTAAGGCAACAACATGCTTAGGACCTGTATCTTCGAGCTAAACAGAAGACTGATTAATCGGCTCGCTTATTTGAGGCCTATTTAAAGACCCTCGAGGATAACCTTCTGCCTAAGACTAATTCTATATAGATCTCGGAAATACGCCTAAAACTTAGATAGGAGCTTATCCTCGAATTAGACCGTCGCCGTGTATTCGAACAAGCCAATCTAACACGCATTTAATTCATAGTCGAAGTAGAAACAGCCGAACGAGCTATTTAGCTCTAATAACGACTAGAATTAAGGATCCGACTAACTAGTACTAACCGTAGCAACCGTAGTAGCCGCGGAGGAAACCAAGGTTCCTACTATAACAACAATGCTAACAATAGGAACAGTAACGACCGTAGAAGAGGCCGTAGCCGGCGGCTATATAGAGGAGGCCGCGATAGGGGCCGTAGAAGGGGCTCGTATCCCTATAATACTAACCGCTCGGCTAACAATAGCAACAATAGCTCCGGTAGCCTACTAACCGGATTGAAGTGCTTCAATTGTAATAGTACTAGCTATCTACTAGGCTAATGCGACAAACCTAAGGACTAGGCCCGAATTAACCGTGCTTTAGCTAAGTATAGGAAACATCTTTTAGCCGCTAATGCTACCCTAGTCGGCTCTTTTAATTAGTCGAAAAAAGAGTAAGCGCCGCACTAACTATTAGCCTTGTGCGGCGTAAGACTATCGACATTGTACTAGCTATAATACGCTCCTACCTTATATAGGATACGAAGGGCACTAGCTATTAAACTAAGGTTATGCTAGATCTAGGAAATTCAGTTAGTGCCCTTATTAGCCATCGCCTAGCTAAGCAATTAGACCTTCGACAACTGCCGAGGACTAACCTACTAACCCTTGCTTGGTTTAATAACGCTCGGCACTTAACCTATAGGGCCTACTATGTTCCTATAGCTCTAAAGGACGACCTCGGAAATAAGCGCCTACTAGACTTTACTGCCTACGTAGTAGATATAGACAGCCTCCTATCCGATATTGTTATTAGTAACCCTGTTCTTAAGTACTACGCTATAGCTATAGACCTAGGCCTCTAGAAGTAGCGATTTAGAATCGCTAGGAAAGAGGACATTAAACACATTAATATTAGCGAGTGTCCTAACGATATTAGGGTCCTATTTATTAGTAACCTAATACCTGCCTTAGCTAATCCGACTGCCGACCTGCTTAGTAGTAATAACGACGAACCTGTGCCCCCTAATAATCCTAATTAGCTTGCTCGTATACTAGAGCCTATCCGAGAGACCTATATTAATATGTTTGAACACTACCTAGCACCGACATTGCCTATATTCAAGGAGACGGATTATAAGATTAATATTATAGAGGGTAAGGAGGTTCCTTTTAGCCCCCTCTATAACCTTAGTAAACGAGAGCTTGCTATATTGCGTAAGTACCTAGAAGAAAACCTAGCTAATAGTCGAATTCGGTATAGCAACAGCCCTGCTAGTGTACCTATCCTATTCGTACTAAAGAAGGATAGTAGCCTACGCCTATATATCGACTATCGTAGGCTTAATGCTGTTACTATTAAAGACCGCTATCTACTCCCCCTTATTAATAAGACCCTCGATCGCCTTTCTAGGGCTTACTACTATACTATACTAGACATTAAGGATGCGTACTATCGTATCTGTATTCGCAAGGGCGACGAATAGAAGACGGCCTTCCGTACTCGCTATAGCTATTTTAAGTACTTAGTTATGCTATTTGGGCTAGCTAATGCCCCTGCTACATTCTAGTCCTATATTAATCGGGCCCTATTAGGCCTATTAGATCACCTCTATATAGTTTACCTAGATAACATCCTAGTTTACATACATTCACCTAATATTGTAGAACACTAGGCCGTAGTACGCAAGGTCCTCGACCGCCTACGAGCCTATAGACTGTATTGCAAACCTTCTAAATGCACCTTTACTACTAAAGAGGTATTATTCCTTAGCTTCCTCGTATTAACTAAGGGTATTAAGGCTAACCCTAATCGGATTAAAACTATTACTAAATAGCCTATTCCTACTTCAATTAAGGAACTATAGTCGTTCCTCGGCTTCGCTAATTTCTATCGTCGCTTTATTAAGAGCTATTTACGGTATGTAATGCCCCTAACTAAGCTTACTAAAACTAAGGCTAACCTAACTAGAGAGTTCAAATAGACTAATAGAGTACAAGCCGCTTTTAACGGCCTAAAGCAACGCTTTACTAATGTCCCCTTATTGTACTATTTCGTACTAAGCAAGCAGATCCGAATTGAGACTAATGCTTTACAGTTCGCTATATCGGCTATTATATTACAGCAATCAGATAATGACTATTACTAGCACCCGATTGCCTTCTTTTTACGAAAGATAATCGATATAGAACGTCGATATAAGACCTACGAGCAAGAGCTCTTAGTAATCGTAGAAGCCTTTAAGCATTAGCGCTACTATCTTAATAGTGCTTAGTACACAATTCGGGTCTATACAGACTATAACAACCTCTATAGCATTACTAAGATTACTAGGGTTATAGGTCGATAGGCTAGATAGGCCGTCTACCTCGCCGGGTTTGATTTTAATATATTATACCGGCTAGGCGTAAGTAACCCTACCGATAGCCTATCGAGGCGACCTAATTACGATAGCGAGACCTAATACATTAATTCTTTGTTTCTAACCCTATAGCATAAGATTACTATAGCCCGTATTATTAATAAGCAAGCGTAGGATAAGCGGACTTCCGGACCCCGCGGCGGCAACAAATACTATAGCGGAGTTGTCGTTCTTCTAGTGCGCGTTAGAAAGGACGTAGATCGCTCGAGCTATAATAACTCGATTAAAGACATTGCTATCTATAGTAATAGCCTATATAGCGATAGTACTATAGAAGAGGTTGCAGTAGTTCCGGCTGCTAGTACTATTAGATGCATATAATACGTACCTCGTTCGATAGCACGGGTGCTATTAAATAACCTTGCAAATAGGGATAGTTAATCGTTTATAGATAAGCTATTGCATACTTAGCAGAGGGACGCCTTTGCTATCGAGCGCATTAATAAGCTTGTAAGTAGGCGGGCGACTCGATCTAGTAAGAGTAACAATAATTAGTCGATCGACGACAAAAGTTACTTAAAGTTCAAGGGCAGATACTATATCCCCGCTAAACAATCGATTAGACAAGAGCTTTTAAAGAGGCACTATAATAGTAAACTCGCTAGTTACTATAGTATAGAGAGGTCGTACGAGTTACTATCGCGCATATACTACTAGCTAAATAATAAGCGGTATATAAAGGAGTATATATAGACCTATATAGTATACTAGCGAGTTAAAGCACCGAAGCACTTACCGTTCGGCGAGTTGTCTTCGCTCCCTATTCTAAAGAAGCCATTTGCTAAGCTAATAATAGACTTTATTATAGGCCTTCCGCCTGCTAAGCGTAAGGGTAGTAAGGACGTATATAATGCTATCCTTGTTGTAGTAGATCGATTTACTAAAGGCGCTCGATACATCCCGGCGCGCAAGGATTAGACTACTATTAATATAGTAGAGGCGCTATAGACTAACATCTTCTATACCTATTAGGGAACCCCTAAGGGGATAGTTTCCGATAGGGGCTCGACATTCATATCGCACTACTAGAGCGAAATATGCCTATAGCTAAGACTAAAGCATCGGCTATTAACAGCCTTCTATCTATAGACTAACGGTTAAACAGAGAGGCAGAATGCTACCCTGTAGCAGTACCTACGCAGTTACATTAACGAGAATCCTAAGGATTAGGTTAATCTCCTATAGCCTGCAGAATTCGTATACAATAATAGTGTATACTTATCAACTAAGGTTTTACTATATATAGCTATAATAGGTCAAAACGCCGCGTTACTACAAGATCTATTTACCTCGCTCGAGGCCGAGCGTAAAGAAAGGGAAGCGCGTTAAGTACTAGAGACACTAGCGGCAATAGAACGTATCTAGAAGATACGAGAAATCTATGCTAAGATAGCTAAGAAGTTAACAAAGGCTTAAGAATACTAAAAGGCCTACTACGACAAGCGTTATATACTAATAACCTTTAAATAAGGCGATATAGTTATACTTAGCACTAAGAACCTCCGCATCCGCAAACACCTATCGCCTAATAGTAAAACAAGGCCTAAGCTCGCACTAAGATACATTAGCCTATTTCGCATCCGAGAACCGAAGGGCAATAGCTAGGCCTACTAGTTATAGCTTCTACCTTATTATACTATCTATAACACCTTCTATATCTCCCTCCTTAAACCGTACTACTAGCGCGAAGGCGATAAAGCGCCTGCTAAGTTAGAAGAAGTCTTAGCTAATAGCGAAGAACTATAGTCTATAGAACGTATCCTAAACTATCGGACTAGGTAAGGCAAGAAGGAGTACCTCCTAAGATAGTAAGGCTATTTACCTAAATAGGACTCGTAGGAAGCTAAAGACTCTTTTGAAGATATAACTAAGTTGTTAGATAAGTATTAGACCAATATAAAGGCTAAGAAGAAGGCTAAGGGCTATAATGTCGCCTAAGAACAATGCTACCCCTAGGGTGCTATTAGCTAACTAATTAGAAGCAAGCAATTGTTAGCAACGAAGGATAACAAGACTACACTGCTATAGCGAACGCGCACCGGGTATTAACAAGCGCGCTATAACGCGTTAACTAATCGCATGCTCTTTTAAGGGCTCTACCTCTTTACTAATGCGCCCTATAGGGCCTTCCCCTAGCATTAGGTCCCCCTTTTATTCCTTTATCCTATCGAGGATAATAGTGTCGCGCTACGAGCTAGCAGTGTGCCGGCGGCCGGCGCAGCTATACTAGTAACAGTGTTACGGAGTATATTACTATTTAAGAAAGGAAGGACATAGCTATATTAGTAACGGTATTGCTAAGTTATTATTAGTCGAAGAAGGAAATCGAAAGTAAGGTAAAGTTAGCGCTAAGACGACTAGCGCCGCTATTGTTAACATTACTTACTGTTGTCGCTACGCCTATAGACACAACCTTACCTGTGCTGCGAGCCTAAGGCACTTTTAATCAAAACTTTAATTAAAAGCTTTAAGCCTATTAAAGGTTTAATCAAAACTTTGAGGCCAAGTTAAAACTTTGACTAAGTTAAAAGATTAAGCGACTAATAGACTAACTAAGGGCAAAAACTATAGAGCTAAGCTAGCCGGGGTCGATCTTACGGACAATAGGTTACTCCTCGATCTTTCTAACCCTTTAAGCGAGGCGAACCTTAACTACTGTACTTATAATAGCCTTTACCTATAGAAACTAGACGAGCTGTGTTTTTTCTAAAAAGTAAATAATAGCCCTCGTAATAATAAGAACAAACCCTCGGAAGCGGACAACCCTCGAAAGCGGATATTACTAGGTCTTTTAAGAGTAGACGCAAAGAACTCGGTACGACATTACTTAGAACGGAGGCAGTGCTGTAATACCTCGTACGTCTACCTGTTATAGTAGGGAAGACGCGCTCGTATTATAATTAGTCGAAGGACTTCAATTCTTATAGATATATATTACTTTATAGTTTATTATATATAGAGATAGCGTAGTTAGAGTTGTATATTGTATTGTTTAGAGGTGAGGTTTGATATAGTTATATAATTAGGTAGTTAAGTGTTTAATTTAGCGCGGACTAAGAAGGTTGCTAGACCTGCTAAGTTAGTAGCGATAGAGGTTAAGAATAGAATATAGACCGGCTACGAGGGCGCGGCCTTTAGAAGGGAAGCGTGTATTAGGACTAAAGAGGTTACACGTAATTAGCATATAACTAGGCTCGAGTAAAGCTAGGGTCTTAATGCCTTAGGTAGGGCTTAGCGCTTAGCGTTAGGCTAACTAGCCTGCCTTCCTCCCTCTCCTCTTAGATCTCTATCGAATACTACTCGTACCTACTACTACCCTATCTACCTGCTAATATACCCTTCTTACAGAATCCGAAACTTCGCTTAACTAGTTCTATTGTTTTTAAAACTCTAGGGTATCTATTTTCTAGTCCGTCGTAGTATTGTCGTATATACTCTATAACTCGTTCCTTAGGTACTTAGTATTTCCTATATTCGATTAGGAACTGTTCTTCTATATCCTAAAGAACTCGTATAGTATAGTTAAATTCCTTTGTATTACTACTAAGGCTTCCGTCTTAATTTGCCTTTAATATCTGTTGCTATACTAGTTCGTAACCCTCTATATAGTCGCTACGGCGGCTTAGTACGTCGGCTCGTCCGTTCTCGCGTCCTAGGGTATAGCGGATCTCGAACTTATACTATCCTAGTAGCTCCGACTAGCGGGCCTGTCTTTAGGTTAGTACTTTAGTCGTAGTAAAGTAAGTTAGATTCTTATAATTAGAAAGAATCGTAAGACTTAGTACTCCTTCCGCGTATACTCGCTAGTATTATAGTAATACAACTATTGCAAGTAGCTCCTTATTATAGATGTCGTAGTTCTATTCCGCGGGTAATATCTTTCTCGAGTAATAGGCTACCGGGTATCGTTTCCTATTATGCTCTTATATAAGATATGCTCCTATAGCTCTATCTAACGTATCTGTCTCTATCTAGACCGCCTTATTTCTATCGAATAATCGTAGCGTTAGTATAGAAGCGTATTGCTCCTTTAGTTGCTTAAACGCTTTATCTTCCTTCGTACTCTAGTTCTATTTCTTGTCTTTCTTTATAAGCTCCGTAAGGGGTGCCGCTATCTTAGAGTAGCCCTCGATGAATTTCCTATTATAGTTAGCTAATCCTAGGAATAATTGTACGTCCTTAACGTATATTAGCGTTAGCTATTCCTATATTAACTTGGTTTTTTCTAGATCGATCCTAATTCCTATAGTACTAATAATAAATCCTAGGAACTTAACTTCCTTCTTATAGAATTCGCATTTCTTAGATACAGTCTTAAATCCTACTTAAGTAAATCGTTTAAAGACGTCCTACACTATTCGTATATAGTCCGCGAGAGCTCCCTTAGTATAGACTAAGATGTCGTCTATATATACGATAACGTATATATCTAGGAGGTCTCGGAGGACTTCGTTTACAAGGTCTTAATATAACGCTAGGGCATTCGTAAGTCCTATAGGCATAACTAAGAATTCGTAAAGCCTATATCTTATTCGGAATGCTGTTATCTACTCGTATCTAGCTGCTATACGTATTACGTAAAACGTATCGCATAGGTTAATCTTCGTATACTAGTCTAATCTAGTTAATCGGTCTTGTATTTCTTCGATATTCGGTAATAGGTACCGATTCTTAATTGTAATATCGTTAAGTCGTCTAAAATCGACTACTAGCCGTCCTTCGTCTAATCCGGCTTTCGGAACGAATATTACTAGTAAGGCTACCGAGGATATCGACTTCCGTATCTAGCCTTTTTCTAGTTTCTCTTTTAGCTACTTGTTTAGGGTTTTAAGCTCTTTCTTAGACATTGTATATAAGGGTCCCTATAGAGGCTCTTTCCTAGGCTGTAAGTATATCTTATAATCCTATAGTTAGTATTTAGGTAAGGCCGCCTTGCCTCTCTCCTCTTTAAAGAGTCGCCTCTACTTACTATACTCTTTAGGAATGTCTAGGTCCGAGATTCTAGTTTTATTCTTCGATAGCGTATAACTTCTATCCTTCCCGTAATTATTGTTATAACCCTCCTAACCTAACGGTAGTATTAATCCGGGTTGAATACGGTTCTCCGTAATTCCTATCGACGTAAACGTCTTACGAGTCGCCCTACGTTTATTAATCTTATCTGTCTACGAACGCTACCGCTATATAGGTTAAATGCCGATTATATAGTCGTATTCCTTAAATATAAGTACTCCTCTTCTCTAATCTACGACTAGGTTATACTTTCTTAACTAAGGTATGCCTAGTACAATATTATAACTAGCTATGTTAGTAATATCTAAGACAATTTCCTCGTAGTGCTATTAGATAGCTAGTAGTAACGGTATCGTCTCTCGTTCTATACTAGGTAGCGGTAACCTATCTACTACTATAAGTTTATACGCTCCTTCTCTTCTACTTCGGGTTACGATCCCTCGGCTTTTAACGAATAATTCGGAGGCAAAGTTCCCGCTCGCTCCGGAATCTATTAATACACTCGTCGGGTACCCGCTAACGATAACTTTTATACGGAAGACTGCTGTTAATACTTAAGCGCTTTCGGTATTAAGGAACTCTCTTAGAACGCTCTAATCTAGAGAGTTAGTCCGTTTCCCGACTAGTTATTAGCCTAACGTCGCTCTAACTAGCTACGGATCCGTAGTCCTACCGTTCGTGCTTCTTTAGTATATAACTTTTCTTCGAGGGTATCGTTATATATATCTCGTCCTTGCGCTACTATAGCCTTTCGGTATTGCTAATTTAGTCGCTAGACCGCCTAACGTATATCTTAAGTAATAATCGTCCTCTCGTCGGGTAGGACGTATCCGTAAGGCGTAATTATACTTCCTATCGGTACTCGCTCCGTAATAAAGTTATAGTACGTATAGTCTATAGGTATCTAGGGGTAATTCTAGAATTTTGCCTATAAGCTTATCTAGAAATAATTAAATTAGATAGGATTAACCCTCCGTTGTCCGTTAACTTTTAGAAACATTTCCTCGTATTTGCGTACTAGATATAAGGCGATTGTTCGCGCTACTATAGGTATATCTATCGTAAACGTAAGGATCGTATCGTCGTTAATCCCGAATTCGTCTTTACTTTCTTTATTCGTAGTTTCTTCCTCGGTATCTAGACTTTCCTCTAAATCTTCTTACTATTCCTCCTCTTACTAAGGGGACTCCGGTACTTCTAGGATAGCTCCTAACTCCTCCCCGGGGAGGGAATAAAGCTTCCGGATCTCGGTTTTCTTCGTCGTCGGTATCTAAGCAAGATTTATTAATCGTTTCTTCTTCTACCTAGGATTTCGTATCTTCTCGTACGAGTCGCCTATTCTAAGGGAAAAATCCTATATCTTTCTTAGTAGAATAGAAAATTTAGTATCGGTCGTCGTAATAGAATCTCTAGTAAAGGGTTCTATATACAAGTTCTTATCGTCGTACTATTATATAGATTTGTCGTAGCTCTTTCTTTACGACCTCTACGTAGGTCCTTAGCGTACTATTAATAGAGTATAGCCCTACTACTATTTAGTAGCCTCCTCTACCCGAGTCCTTTCGTTATATTATATTAAACTGTTTGCGTCGCACTATATTCTTGCCGCGATAGTTCCGTACTATATAGCCTTCCTTGCTATACGTATAGTAAGTTAATCTTCTTACTTTCTTAGGCGAACTCTTACCCTTTCTTCCTTTAAATACTCGACCCTTCTAGGTAGCGTCTAGCTCTATTAGTTACGCGCTATAGTAGTTATTCCTCTTAGGTTTGTCGTAGGTACTATAGTTTCGTCTATTGTCGTATCTAGGAGTATAACTAGCTTTTCTAGAAGTCTTAGAATCGTAGCGTCGTTCTAAAGCTCGTTTATAGAGCCTATCGTCGAGATCGATCGTAACCTTAACTAATGTTCCTATATTATCTATTTTTCTACGGTCGCACGTAAGCTCGTTCTTAACGTTATCCTTAAGACCTCGCCGATATATTATTATAAGAGCTTCGTCGTCCTAATCCGTAAGTTAGGCGTATTCCTAAAATTTAGCAGCGTAATCGGTATATAACCCCTTCTAAGTTAAGTGTTAGATAACCCTAACTACGGTAGCAACCTCGTTAGAAGATCTAAAGACCTTCTTTATCGTATGCTTAAGATATTCGTAGCTTGCGAAGATTCTATTCGAATTATCGGTCCTATTGCTATCTAGATAGGTCCTAAGAAATAGTTTAACCTAATGCTAAGCCCTACCTCGTATAAACGTTATTGCGAAGACTAGCTTTAAGTTGTCTTAAACCTAGTTAAACATAAAATATATATCTATCTAGTTAACCTAGGTATCGAACTTGTCTCGGTTACTATAATAAAAGTCTAGCTTTCCGATCTTAAGGGAATCGTTTCCGGTATAGGTTCCTAGTGTACTACTAATACTAGAGGTAGTACGTCGAGTACTGCCTATCTCGCTAGGGGCGGGAGTTCCCCTTCCGACTTGTAATAAGGCACTTATCCTAAGGGCGTTTAAAGTGTTACGGTTACTCGCGATAAATCGTTAGGTAACTTCTTATTACGTACAAGCCGAGGCTTCTTTAGAGAGGCTAATATAAGCGGGAGGCTAAGATAGAATGATTAGTACAAAGGTAATTCTAATTAGTAAGTAGGTAATATAAGTTAAACGCCTCGAGCTATAAGGGTATCCCGGCGTTCCTAAATATAAAGGAGACATCTTGTCTATAGTTATAAGCGACGTAAGCGACGCTGTCGCTCTCGACCGCTCCTATCGCTCCTAGTAAGATAGAGCGACAGCTTAGCTCGCTAGTCTTAGCGTCGCTCTAAGATTATATAAGGACTCTAACTAATTAGATCCGTAACAACTCGTACGTCTCGTACCGGCGTTCTATATTAGTTATCTTCCTCGAAAAGAAGGCAATTAGGTACTAGTAGCTATCGTTGCTACTACTCTATTATAATAGGATAGCGGATATAGTATACTATAAAGCGTTAGTCTCAATTTTTAATAGCTTAATTAGGTTAAAATAGTATAGTAGGGGAGTAGTAGTAAACCGCTCCTTTAAGCCGTTAATAGCGGCTTATACTTTGTTACTCTACCTAAGCTCCCTAGAAGGATTGTTCCTAGTTTTAGTAAGCTTAGTTAGCGGTACTATATAGCGTAAATAGCCCTTAATAAATCGTCGGTAGAAGTTAGTAAAACTAAGGAACGGTTAGAGTCCCTTTACCGTTATTAGTATAGGCTATTTAGTAATAGTCTTTATACGGTTACGATTAGCCTTAACGCCTTTAATAGAAACTAAGAAGCCTAAGAAGGGTACCTCCTTAGTAGCAAAGGTATATTTAGAAGGTTTGCAATATAGGCTATAGGCTCGTAAGCGATCGAGGACCTTCCTAATAGTAGCCTAATAGTTAGTAATATTAGGCGAATAAGTATAGATTCGTATATTATTAAGATAGACAATATATAGGTAGTCTAGTAGGCTAGATAAAGCCCTAGTAATATAGGATTAGAATATCGTAGGGGCATTAGCTAGCCTAAAAGACATTACTAAGTATTTAAAATAGCTATAACGGGTACGGAGAATAGTCTTCTACTATTCGTTATCCTTACGGATACGGATACGATAGTATATATCCTTTAAATCTAGCGTAGTATAGAAATAGGTACCTAATAGACGATCTAATGTCTTATTAATAAGCGGGAGTAGATAGTAGTCTTTAATAGTAATAGTATTTAGCCTACGATAATATAGGTATAGGCTACTATCCTTTTTTAGAATAAATAGGATTAGTATACTAGTAGGACTGTTGCTATACCTTATCCGCCTATTAGTAAGGTTCTCGTCTAGGTATCTATAAAGAATAGCTAGCTCTCTTTTACTAAGGTTATATAGTAGGCTAAAGGGAACCTCTTTGCCTTCTATTACTTTAATCCTATAATCTATCTCTTTTAATAGTAGAAGTATAGCGGCTAGATAGTACTTAAATATATTAATATAGGTTTCTTAGATCGGTAGGGGAATACGCTCGAGTTAGTTAGGCTTAATACCGTTAGGTAGTTCCTCTTCTTCGAGAAGGTCGGTAGTTAGGTCGGTAGCTATAAGATTGCTAATAAATAGGACCCTAGTATTATTAGGGCATTTACTAGGGTCGATATAGTTAATATCTTCCTTTCTAGCTATCCTAAAGCGCTATTATTAGCTACCGAGGTCTATTTTTATAGTATAGTACTTAAGTATAGGATTACTAAGCACGATAGCTCCGTAGTAGAGGTTGTCTATATCGATAGTATAGGTAGTAAAGTCTAAAAGCCTCTCGTTACTAATATTATCCTTTAAGACTATATATATATAGCATATACTATAGGTCTCCTATCTAGCCTTATTAAACTAAGCAAGGTTTAGCATATTAGCTCGGTATAATAGCTTTAGATCTAGGTACTTAGTAGTATAGTAGTTAATAAGGGCACTAACTAAATTTCCCGAATCTAGTATAACCTTAGTCTTATAATTGCTATTATAAGTATTATAGATAAGGTAGTCTTATATAATTGCTAGCTATATATTAATAGTCTTACGCCGCACTAGCCTACTAGGCTAATAGTTAGTATAGCGCTTATTCTTTTTTCAAGCGGTTAGGAAGGCTTACTACTATAGGGGACCGGGGTAGTATTCGCTAACGTAAGCTTTCTTCTATAGTCGGTAGTAGTACGTTTAATTCGAGCCTAGTCCTTTAGCTTATCGTATATACTAAGCAAGTAGGTAGTACTATTACAATTAAAGCACTTAAAGCTAGTTAGTAGAGCGCTACTACTATCGCTAGCTATAGGCCGCTTAGTTTATTAGTAGGGGTATCTACCTCTTCCGCGGCCTCTACTACGCTAGGTATTTAAGTTGCCTCCTCGATATAGCCTAGGTCGGTAGTTACTATAGCCTCGCTATTGCTAGGGGTCGTAATTATTTATTATTATTATTATTATCTCTACCCTAGTAGCTACCTCTTTCGCGGCTACTACGGTTATTATTACTATTAGGCCCGATCTTCGATTCTACTATTATTCTAGTCGTTTCTAGGCCTATATAGCCTATTCGGCTAGGTTAATCTCGACTATAAATTCGAGGCGACTATAGTATTGTTTAAATATATAGTAGCGGTCTAATTTAAGGGTAAGCTCCTATCTAAATTTAGGTCGTACTTCTATAATCTATACTAAATTAGGTTTAGGTAGTAGGTCGTCCTTAATAGCCCTTAGTCGGGTTTAGAAGGCTCGAGCCGTTTTATCGGATCTCTATTTAGACTTTAGTATAGAGGAATTGTTCTTACTAAGCGTACTTAGTATAGTGTCTTTATAGGTTTACTAGTCGATCTTAGATAGGTCTTCTAGGGAATTAAAGTAATTATCCTAGGCTCTCTAAGTCTTAGAGTCGCTATCGATATATTATATAGTATAGACGACTAAGGCATATTTAGTAAATAGCGCTTTTAGTATATTACGCTAGTTAAGCTTATAGTTACGGATATAGTTATTATACTACTTCCTACTAGAGTTATTAAATATAGTATAGTCCTTAAGTTTAGTATCTCTCCTTAGAACTAGTTTCTCTACTATACTAGTAGGAGTACTAAGTTTAGCTATAAGGCGTTAGATAGCCGCGAAGTTATTACGGACTTCCTTCTCTTATATAATAGCCTAGAGTTTACCGCGTAAACAGGTCCTTAGGCCCCTAAGGTTAGGTAGTCTAATATTAGATAGCTATCTCGTTAGCCTATAATATAGCCCTTATTTATAATATTATTATTATCTTCTATTTTGCTAATACGTATTATTTAGTTAGTAATAGGTCTCCTAGTAACCCGGATATAGCGGAATTAGTATATCTATATAATTAGTACGATTATCCTAGTTAAATAGGCTATATAGAAGGCCTAAGTTAGTAACTAGCGTAGTTAGGTTAGTAGTTTCTTAGCGTATAGGTCTTGTTTTAGTAGGAGGCTTGTTTTAGTATAAATTTTAAGCCGTATTACTAAATCGATTAGCTATCTAGCTATAGCCCTTAAAGGATAGATCGAATACTATATAATAATATAGGTTAGGTAAGTAGGTAGATAGTATAGTTAAAAGCGTATAGTATTCGATAAGGCCTATAGAGGAGGGAGAGGAAGGTTAGGAAGTTAGGCTAGTACTAAGCGCTAAGCCCTACCTAAGGTACTAAGACTCGGACCCTAGCTTTACTTAGCTAGTTATATATCTTTTATATACCCTCTAATAATACCCTTCTAAACTATCTAAAGCTTTAGAGACTATAGTTTGCTAGGAGAATAGCATACTAATTGCTATCTAAGTGCTATACTAAATTCTAAGAGGTAGGTAGTAGACCCGCCTCCGCAATCCCGACCCTTTTATACCGTAGAATAGGTATTTGTCCTACATGCCGACCCTCCTAATGCTTTTCCACTTCTCGTCTAGCATTTATTCTCTTCTACATGAGCTTTCGTATACCTCATGGCTGATGTCCATTTTAGGGAACATCCTTTGCAATACGGCGTTGATGGGGGAATTTATTTCGAGGTCGGCAGTTTGGAGTTCGTTGCATTCCCTGGACATAAGGTAAGCGTTCAGGGCGCGTGAGCAACGATTGAGGAGCTCTGAGCTAAGCTCTGCGAAAGTACGGGTGGCTACCCATTGAGACAACCCGTCAACCACTTACAGTCATTCCCACAGATCCCGGAAGCCCGTGGACGAAGGCAGCCTTCCTGAAGTTGATTAGCGACATTGAGCATCAGGACGATGTTAGTCAAGCACAGTTCCGGCGACTTCTGCTCTTTTGGGCTACTCGGGAAGGAACCATTCGGCTTTCACAGTCTTTGAAATCTCATTTGGCAGATCGGAATGTCGAATACGCGGTTGTTGAGTTTCGGGACGCAGATCGAGCGTTGGCAGCTGGGCCATACCTCTGGTACGATGGCAGACTCGGTCCAATCTATCGTCTATATGAAGATTCTCACAGTACATTCATCGGAAGCTTGCGACCAGGCGATAAGGACTTGTGGGTTCAGGTGCAGATATACAAGTTGGAATACTTCGGTGCTAATAAACCCCTTAGGCCGCTCAAACCATTCAGGCTTGCCGGGCACGACCCCCAGACACTTAGCGTTCCTGTACCAAGCCGACAGCCTTTGCTCGGTCATTCTCCAGATCATGGTCGGCTGACTAGCAAACGAATCCTAATCAAGGATATATTCGACGTTCGTGGACTCAAAATGAGCGCATGTAGTCGAGCTTTCCTCAGACTTGCAACGCCGTCTCATAGAACTGCGCCAGCTATACAGCGACTTATAGACGAAGGCGCTGCGATTGTTGGGACGGCAAAGCTTAGCTCGATGATCTCGCGAGAGGAGCCAAGCGAGTGCATAGACTACTGCGCTCCGTTCAATCCGCGAGGCGATCGTAGTCAATCACCGGCAGGCAGTAGCAGCGGAAGCGCAGCAGCTATTGCTGCATACGATTGGCTCGATTACGCCATCGGTTCAGATTGTGGGTGCCGGAGCCATCCCGCTAAGGTATTTAATCAAGTCCAGATCTGACTTTCATTAGCAACTGGAAGCACAAGACGCCCTGCTGGCGTCAATGGCTGCTTCGCGATTCGTCTTTCAACGGCAGCGCTCCCAGCAGAGGGTATCTTACCTTGCTTCAAGTGCGTTTAAACCTACCTCGAAGAGAAGCGAGCCTAACCTCGGTCAGACTATTCGACGCGCCTTCTCTTTTTTGCAGGGACATAAATGGCATGGGGGAAGTGGTAAATGCCTGGTGTGGTCATTCTTTGAAGTCCTCTGGACGAGTATGTGTAATCGAGGAAGTGCCCGAAGTGTTCTAAGCTGACAAGGACAGCCTCCTACATCAGTCTTCGTACCCATGGACTACTTTCCTGTCAAGAATAATGAGCAACAAAATCTTCTCGATCAATTTGCGCTAGATGTCTGCGCATGTTTCAAGATCCCCATACGCAAGATCCACCTGCATAAACTGTGGGAGGAGACCCGACCCGCGACTGCCCATGGAAATGGCCTGAAGGAGTACTTGAGGGACGTCGGGCGGAACTCGTTCATCTACGATTTCTATCATTCTACCGACGACTTTCGGAGCGAATACGAGCGTCGGTTCGAAGCATCACCTCAGGTGAACAGAGTCGTCCGCTGGCGCTGGGAAGTGGGCAAAACCATCACGACAGCGCAGAGGAACGAAGCGATTCGTCGTCTCAACGTATATAAAGGCTGGTTGATGGAGCACATCTTTCGAGATGCGAATCCTATCATGCTTCTTCCCGTCGGGAACGCGGAGGAGAACTATCGAGACGACAAGTCTAGTAAGCCGCCTATTGCGCAGGAGGCATGGGATCAGTTGTGGCTATCGCCAATTCTTGAAGCCCCCGAAATCACTGTTCCCATTGGACAGGTCCCCTTCAAATCCAAAATGACTCGCCGAGAAGAAATGTTACCTGTAGTAGCGTCGCTTGTCGGCCTACCACGTACTGATCTGTGTCTGATCGAGACGGCAAAGAACATCTTGGAGTATTCCAAGAGACCCACACGTGTTGCAACAGGTCGACAAATGTTTGTTGATGACTGGGATGTGGTAGGGAGGACGCGTACGCCATGAGGCCTTGGGCGACGGGGCTTAATAGGTTATATAAGAGACGGAGGCTTTGTGATTAGAACTTTTCGGAGGCACTGCAAGGTACTGACGATTCACGCTACTTGATCCGCAGCTTTTCAACAAGGCCGCACGACCATCAACATGATCTCAATTCCCCCCGTATGCCAATTCCTCGACTTTGAAGTGTGCGATCGTTCCCATGGCATATCTTATCTGGACCAAAATGTCACAAGCTCGTCAAAGTCTTTGGACTCCAGTTCCGAGGGTGACTTCTTGTGCTGCTCATTGACAATTCTAGAGCGAAGTTCTGCCGCCCTCTCACGCAAAGCTCCAGCCTCAAAGTTATTTCCAGCACGCTCCTCAAGACGGGCTTTGAGGAAAATTGTGCGAGCAATCTCATTACGGAAGGATGCTTCGTCGGCATGCCAAATCCTGAATGCTTGCTCAATAAATTGTCTAAGATAGAAATGTCAATTTTGGTCTTGCATCGTACGGTGCAAATGTGAACGTACCGGGCTTGATCAAAGCATTTCCGTTGTATGCAATGATCGGCCACACGATGGCATACGTCTGCTGTTCGATGATGATGAATGCCAATCGTAGCTTGATATTGGGAAAGCGCTCTCTGATGATAACGATACGATTCCTCCATCAGAGCAACACGTTCCGCCGGATCTGAAGCCATTGCGGACTGGTCGGATCTCAAATTACCAAGTGTGTGCAGAAATCGGCCAGTGCTGCCTAGGTCAGTAAGTACATATGCTGCGTGGATGAAGTGACGAACCGAAATGAGTCAGTGTCGTCTTTTCCGAATGCCGCCTCACGAGCAGCAAGCCCGTTCTCCAGCAGATCGTTGGCCGTGGTCAAGTCGCCAGTCAGCCAGTGAGCCACCGCTAAATTCACAGTAGGTATCGAATCGGCGCATTTGACCTCTAATCTGAGCGTCTTAAAGTGAGCTCTTGAGCTTGTGAAATCCTCGATTGCTGAAGCGTAGTCTTTGACCATCATGTGTCCAGTTCCGCGTTGGTTGTAAGCCATCGCTGTTCTGAGACTGAGCGGCTCACCACGCTTCATTAGATTGCATCGCAATGCGACAAGCGATTTGTTGAACGTCAGACACTCTTCGCCGTGGTTTGTCTCGTTTGCCCATGCTCCAAGACCGTAGTAAATGTCGCTTATAATGTCCATGGCCTGAATGTCTCGAGTTTCCGTTTCTGGTAGCGACTCGAACACCGATTTCGCAGCCCGGAGCATGACCCCGGCAACATGTAGCATGCTGATCTCATGCTGATATCTATTTCTGAAATCAGTCTTTGACAGCTCGACTATATACTTCTAGACTCACGTGCCGCCTTCGCTGAGAATTTGAGCAAGCTCACGGGAAGGCTCGATACATCCAGCGCCGGCGTAGCTTTGATACAGGTCCTGCAAGCGAAGTATATGAGGGAACCATTTGGAACGATGACCCCAAAGCTTGACAGAGTGCCGTTTCTCTGCCGGGTTTTCGAGGCCCCAGGCATTGCACACCAGTTTTGTGGCAAAGCCAAACGTGGCTCGGAACCGTTGAATGGTCAATTGACCGCGTATTGCTTCCTGAACCATCCTATGGATCGTCCACACATTGGTATCTGGATCGACACCAACGAGAGAAAGTCGGATGATTTCGGCTCGATCGCTATAGTACGTTCCCTTTCTGTAGATCGGAAAGTCTGACAGGATGTCTGACATTTGCTGGGTAGATGCGAATAGCTCTTCGTGAATAGTGTCCGGGTCTAGCATGGAGCAGACTTCAAGCAATGCCAAACTTCTCGGAGATATCGCATCCTTGGCGAGGATCGATGCTACTGTGAAGGGATAAGACTCGGCAGGACCATGAGTTTCTCGCTGCTGCAGCTCGGTCCTTTCATCCAAGCTTTCGTATCTTTGCTTGAATTCTCTCAAGGACAGATGCTCGTACCGTATCAAGCAGGCCATCTGGCGGAGTGCCAGAGCCCATCCTCCAAGCGGTTGCACTATTGCTCTGGCCTCACTTACCTGCTCCGGGGATATTTTCAGCTTCGCGATATGTTCCAATACCTCAATCGACTGCGACTCTGTAAACCCTTTTAGGTCGATACTGAGTTGATTCTCAGAAAGAGCCATCGCCGATTTCGGATTAGTGCTAGTCATCAGCACAGATCCGAACTCCAGCACTTCCCAGAGGTCATCCATCAAGTCGACATCGTTGCAGTTATCAAGCACTAGGAGCCAATTTGCACTTTCGACAACGTTAACGTCAGCAACGCCTTCTTTAACAGCATTCATGAGCCAAGCTTTGGCGATCTCCCGGCCCTCGGTGGAAACCTCGCTCCCGGTGGTCTGACTCTGGAGGTGCAAGGCATTAGCAATATTCGCGAGATCTGTTAGCAATCAGTCAGCTCAATTCACGTCAATCCGTGGCGAATAAAGACCTTGTTTTAATTTTGCCTCACTCTCTGCCCTGATCCAGAAGACCGCATCAAACTCATTTTTCCTGGTGAAAACAAATTCGTTTGCAATGGCCGTTTTGCCCTCACCGGGCTTTCCGAAAATTGCCACATGCCTCGGGGCAGCTGGCGCACCTAGACCAGGAAGTAATGTCTTGTCAAGTTGCTGAAGGATCTCGCTGCGGCCGCAAAAGTCTCGGTTCCTCGTTCGCCCTTCGACCATGAAACATGGCAAACGGGCTTTCTGTTGGGGGAGCTCGAATCTGTCAAGGATTGGCGTTAAGGTTGGAATCTGACTGGAAATACTGATGTTGACGGAAGATTCCTCGGGCACATCAGGCTTGGTTCTGAGGACATTAGACCAGTTTGACGCTGTATAATTTGTCAACATGCGTGATGCTGTACTGCGAAATGATTGTCCATGGTACCGTTATTAGCCGCCAGGGGCGTGCCAGTCGGCTCAAACAGGGTATGAAGAAACCTCATGGCTTCCAGGACGGATGGAATGTTTCTTAAGTCGCACAGGTTATTGTGATTACGGTCTGCTCCGATCAAGACTTCGGTGTCTCCGTAGTCTGTCTTTGCGAGCGTCTCGCCAACCAGCTAGTGCGATTAGAGACTATTTCAGCAGAGTTTATGGTGAGTGCTCACTATCTCTTTCCGAAAACGCGCACGCCAAGGTCCGTATCGTGTTGGTAGCTCAGTTGGCAGCCTTTCGTATACTGAGACAATTGGTATTGACAGGAAAGCGTCGCTGAATGCTTCTGCAACAGATAGCAGTAAGGGTAAGTCACGATCGAATGACGGCTTATTCCGAGTAACCGAAACCAATTGGAAGATTTGCGAGAGCTTCTCTTTGAGCACCTCACGGCCGGTCTTGTGCGGACACCCTAAGAATACAAGCCCATGAACAAGTCTGAGGACTTCCCGGGATGTCAGATGTGCCCGGGCGAGCAGAAGTGCCTTCGCATGTCAGCGTGACTCCAGGCCATTGTAAAGCTGACACAGATTGTAGGTAAATACCTTCTTTGTGATATATCCTCCGAGGCCGTGGGAAATGATAAGCAGTGACCGCTGATGTATCCATGTAGCAGTCAGCAGTGAGGATGAGGTTGAACGGGTAGAGCTCACGTTTCTCTGAGTGGTAAGCTCTTGTAGAACAGCAAGAAGCTCTGGTGCCTCCGCCAGCAAAGCAGCTGAGGCTTTGGCAATGTCAGGATTACGATTGTATTCAAAGGAGTAGCATTCTCCGTAAGTCAGTGGAGCTTCTGCACTGCCTTCTGTTGTGGATGAAGAAGACAGAAGACCGGCAGGGAAGATCCACGATGCTGGCGGCGGTGACTCTGGGCCTGGGACTAGGATAATGCTGTGGATTGTGAGCACGTATAGCTGTAACTGTGATAGCAGGTTTACCTGAGCTGTACGCCGCTTTGTTCTCGGCCTTCATCCACCCAGACAGTGCCAAAGCTATACATGTTCACGAGAAGACAAGATCTCCATCGTGTCTTCGTTCACAATGAATACCAGTCTCTACGCCGCACATGTGCAGCGCTGCGCCTGCCGGAATGCCGGTCTCGGTTGCCAGGCGAAGTACGATAGGAGGTAGCGTAGCAAGGATCAGGTCCAGACCGGAGCACATCAGAAGCGATAATTGTGAAGAGAGGGTTGGATCCTCAAATGATCGCAAATATCCTCGAAGCAATGTACAGTCTACATCCTCCGGAGGCTTCTCGCACTATTGTAATACACAAACTAGAGCACCTGCTAGGAGTTTGCGCTATAACGCCTTAAAATAGCCAAAAAGTCCTTAGACTTTATATAGCGAAGATAGACACACTACGGCTTAGCTAGCGGATAGATTGCACCTGCCCGGGCAGCTAGTATAGCGGCTAAGCGCTTTCGGAGTAGGGCACGGACCCTTATTTAGCCGACCTATTCCTATACTACGATATCTAGTACTTTCTAGTTACCGCGTAGCGGCGCAATTTTCCGTCTATAATTTAATATATTTTATAGTATAGAAGAAGCGCTATCTAGCGATATAGAAATCTCTAAATTTAGTATAGTATATTTAGTATTCTACGTAGTAGTAAAATACGACGGCCTAGGGGCCGTACTTTACCTAGATTTAAGTATCCTACTATTAAAGAATTAACTATAATATTATAAAAAATCGTCGTATAGAGTCGCTATAAAAGCATATAACAGATACGCTATTAGGCTATTAGTCTACTAAAGTAATCGGTATTGCGATTACATTTACGCGTATAGTAGTTATCGTAGTATATAAACCTCGAAGCCGACTAAAGTAATCGGTATTGCGATTATATTTACGTATATAACAACTATCGCAATATATATATTTCGAAGCCGACTAAGCTTATCTAAGTACTAGCTTTACGTCTATATATATAACGCTAGAACTATAATAGCACTAGGAAAAATAGCAGCGAACAATTAGAGACGAAGGGAAGACAGTTAAGAAGGAAGGGAGGACGAATAGAAAGCACTATATACTAAGGCAGAGGAGGTGCTAAAGGCGGAAGATAGAAGAACCCCTAAGAGGGCATATAGGATAATAATCTCAGAACTCCTTAGAGGACTAAAAGCAATCTACAACTAGGTAAGCTACGTAATTATAAAGGTAGCTAATATAGTCGTAGCAAAGATTATAAAGAAACAATAGGAGACAAGCCTAAACTACCGCACCTAGGCAGTAGTAGCTAGTTAAGAGGCGCTAAAACCCCCGAGGACAGTAGTTAGAGTCTATATTACGGACCTATAAGAGCAAAAGGAGATCTAAAGACTTATAGGGAAAGAGATTGTAGAAAGAATTACAGTTAAAGAGGTAATTAGGGCTAGGAACGAAGGAAAAGGGGTAATTAAGCTATTTATAGCATAAGAGCAGGACAAAAAGAAGCTAGAAACACAAAAAGAATAGATAACTAAGATAGGGAAAACAGCAAAGGTCTCCTAATAGCAATTCATAATTATAGCCTATAGTATAATAAGAAGCTTTAAGGAAGAACAGGATATTAAAAGCCTATAGAGACAAAACCAAGCTACGTACCTAGGCCTAAAGATTACAAAAGTAGTATAGATTAAAAGGAAAATCGAAGAGACTAAGAAGCAGTCTTCCCTAATTATCTAGATAGGGAGTGTAGAGCAAGCTAATATAGTACTAGACTAGGGGTTGTTCTAGGACTTTAAAAGATTAGAAACAGAGATACATAGAAGCAACTATAGGATAATACAGTGCTTCAAATATTAATACTATAGACACTTAGCAGCTAAGTGTACAAAGACAACTAATACCTACTCCTATTATATAGGGGATTACTAGGTTAAAGAATGCAAAGCATATAAGGGAGAAGCAAGATATATATACTACACTAAAAGACACCCCTCTTAGGCGAAGGAATGCCTAGTAAGAATATAGGCAGCTAGGAAGGCAAAGGAAGCTAGAATCAATACACTAAGAAGATATACAACAAGCTAGGGCAGCTAGGTATAGAAGCAACCTAGCTAAGTGCTATAAAAGAGGTCTAGGTAAGATAATAGGTTCACATTTAGGGCCTTACTAGTACAAGAGAGTTACTAGCAACTAGGGAGACTAAGATACCTTAATATTATAGGAAAGGAAGTAGGGCAGATAAAGCTTAGTCAAATATTAGTCTAAAGTAAGGGAAGACTAAAGGAAAACTTATAGGGAAATAATATAGATAAAACCTAATAAATATTGCAACATTACTAAACATTATATAGTACAATGTTAATAAGAGCAAAGACAAGGTATAGAGGAGCTTCCTTTAAGCACTAAACCTAAAAGAACATTACATTATTGCAATCTAAGAGCCCTAGCTCAACCTATATACAAAGAGACTAGTAACAGTTAAAGACCTAAGATACTACCTAATTATCTACAACTAGGGAGCCCTAAGGACATGCATCTACATTAGTAAGGAGATAGATACAGAAACCTAGCAGGCTATACTATAGGAGGATAGGGACCTAATATTAGTTTAAGTAGAGACATCCTAAGGTACACTCTAAGTCTACTATATATACAACCCACTACTAGACTTAAGAAGCAGTACCTAACTAAAAACCCTAGAAAGACTACCTAGAGTTATCTAGGGGAACACCTACTAAATCCTACTTAGGGATTTCAACCTCTACTACCCCCTCTAAGGCTTAGACTTTACCCTAGCTTACTACTTCCTAGTAGGAAGACTAATTAATATATTAGAGAGGGAAGGAATAGAAATTACTACCCTAAAGGGACTAATTACTTAGGAGGCAAGAGGAAGTAGTAGTACACTAGACCTATACTTTGCATTATATTAGATTAGGAACAGGATTATAAGATGCAGGGTTAACTAGGAACTAGAAGAATTATTAGACTACTTCCCGGTATAGATTAAGCTAAATGTCTAAGCCAATTAGGAAAGGGAACTAGAGGAGAAGCTCAACTAGAAAGGTGCCTAATAGGGCAGGATTAGGGAGGAACTAGAAAGGGACCTAAAACTAGAGGAACTCTTAACAAAGCACCTACTAAGGCTAGAGGATATTAATAAGGCAGTAGAAGAACTAATAGGAATCCTAAAACAGGTAGCTAGAAAGCATACCCTAGCAAAGAAACATTTATTATACTAGCAACTATACTAGACTAGTAAGTATATAAGGAAGGTTAAAGCAGTAAGGAAGGCTAGAAGGCAGTAGACATAAACCTATACCTAGGAAGCATAGGACAACTATAACAAAGCCTATTAGGAAAAGAAGATCTAGATTAAGAAAGACAAGATATAAGAATAGAGATCTATAATAGGAATAATTACAAAGAAACTAGAGGAGATGTAAAGGATAGCTAAATAGGCAAGGAGACCTAAATAGGACAAGGATATACTACTACAATTCCCGGATATTATAGACTAATAAGGACAAATATAGACTATAATAGAAGGGAAAGTAAGAGCCTTAGGCTAACACTTCTTCTATAGAAAAGTACAAGTAGACCTATTAGATATAAAGGAGAAAGAATAAGAGACTCTACTACTAGGCATACTAAGAGACACCTAGGTTAAACCCGAAACTATTAAAAGGATCCTAAAGAAAATTCTAGGCAATAAGGCACTAGGAGAAGACAAGATCTACAACAAACTTCTAAAAGTATATAGGAAGGGGCTAGCCCTAGCACTAGCCAATATCTTTTTATAAAGCCTAGTACTAGGATACTACCTAAGACCATTTAGGAAGTCCCTAATAGTAGTGCTAAGGAAGCCT